AAAGTGAAGTGAACTGAAAATTGACAAAATCAACAAAATGAATTGTTAAGGTCAAGGTAGAGAAAGTGGTTTCAAAAAACGTTTTTGAGTGCAAAGTTTCGGTATAGCTAATGCATAAGTGGTGGAAACGTAAACCTTTGAAATAGTTCAATTTAATTTTGAGGTACTGAGTGTCCTAATTCAATACCGATTGTATATTTTGCATATTGACTAAGCAACTTTTTTTAATGCAATAATTTATCATTTCAACCGAGTATAAATATCACTTCTGTACAGCTTGATAATGAAGTCGTTGAAAAAAGAAATATTTCTTCGCTGATACATGCTTTATTCATTGTATAGGATGTATTTTTACTTGTGTAATCCCAGCGTAGTATATTAGAACAAATAACTAAATAAACAAATATTTTGTATGTATTCCTCAATGTTTCGATCTTACTAAGAAGATCCTTTTCAAGAGTATGAATGTGACATTAAGTTTTCAGGTTATTATTCAAGTTAAACAGATTGTCTAGTCCTATTACTTAGCACCTTATTGATCTACTATTTTCATCAATTTTACACTACTTTCTGAGTCACATACATTCCATGTTCCATAACAATCCATTTTGTTATCAGTCATACTTCAAGTGTTATCAGAAGTACATTTATAGTTATCATTATTATTATTATAATCTATTTATTTATTTATTTATTCATTTAGAAGTAGTATTCATCATGGACTGACATCAGTTGGGGGACTATTGAAAGTCTGGGAGCACTGGACAGCTGTTTCGTCCTAGTATGGGATTCCTCAGCAGTACGCACCCACGACCCGGTTACGGGTCGAACTCAGGACCTTCAGGTCTCACGGCGAACGTGTTAACCATTCAGCCACTGGGTCGGTTTCCATTGATTCACAATTTCCAACATCTGTCAGTTCACAACATAGCGTGACTGTCACCCAAGGTGTTCAGTTAGCATCCACTTCACTTCCGACTGGTTGACCCCACAGGTCACAGTCGCGCTATGTCATGAATTGACAGAAGTTGGAAATTGTGAACCAATGGAAACCGATGCAGTGGCTGAATAGTTAACGCGTTCGCCGTGAAACCTGAAGGTCCTGAGTTCGACCCCTAGCCGGGTCGTGGGTGCGTACTGCTGAGGAGTCCTATACTAGGTGGATGAAACAGCTGTCCAGTGCTCCCAGATTTTCAATAGTCCCCAACTGATGTCAGTCCATGATGAATACTACTTCTAAATTAAAAATCCCCATTCATCTCAAAAATACATTATTTATTCATTTATTTATTTAAGATATTATTGTCTCATCTTCAAATATTCATCCTTCCAAACTGGTAATCTATTCTTTCTCACCCTTGATGTCTCTCACAACCCATTGTACTTTTCATAGACGAACTAAAAAATTTCCCCACCCTATTTTTGTTCCACCTCACTCGTACAACCAAAAAACCTCTCTTATTCACTCATCTGTATTACATCGATCCTCGCTCTGTATCACGATGTAGTGGTCACCACTTTCTGTACCAAAACTTGAATATTATCCTGAAAACTTAATGTCACATTCATACTCTTGAAAAAGATCTTCCTAGGAAGATCGAAACATTGAGGAATACATACAAAATATTTGTTTATTTAGTTATTTGTTCTAATATACTACGCTGGGATTATTATATTATTATTAGTCCCTTGGGTTCCGAATGGAGCGTAGGGTTTCAGTAGCACGTCTCCAGTGACCTCTGTTCTCTAAGATCTTTTGAACCTGGTTCCACGACAGCCCAGAAGCTCTCATTTCCTCCTCGCACGATCTCCTCCATATCACCCTCCGACGTCGGGATTACATAAGTAAAAATACATCCTATACAATGAATCATACTAACTCAGTGCCCAAGTTTTTTCATACTATCCAGTCCATTGTTGGTCAGGATACCTTCAAACATGCCATTATTCTTGTTAATAAATAAATGGGTATATATTTGGTCAGTTGTTGATGTTTTGTTTGATTTTCTATAGAATTAATCTTCCATAGGCAGCTTTATATATCTATATTAACCTTATCCCTTTATACAGTAGTTGTAATTTGAACTACTACCAACAAAACATTACACTGCATATATTATATAAAATTATTTTCCTTTAGTTTGTTTTAATTTTTCAAATATATATTGTCCAAATATATAAAACTAATCTCGCCGATTTTTTAAAATATTCTCAACTAGCCATTTTTGTGCTTAATGAACAAAACGAATGAAAAATGTTATATTAAACGGGAATGCACTTTTAATAAACAAAAATATATCATGTTTTTTTAATCTCTCGGATGTGTGGTGGATAACGCACTGGCGTTTGAAGCGATCGCTCTCGAGTCCGAGTCCCGGTGGGGACAACATCACTCACTGGGAAGCAGGTACATCCAGCTGACGAGTCCCAAATAAGACGAAATACGCATCCTGGATTCCACTGCTAGCCACTACCCATCATTACTAAATATCACATATATTGTTTAGAATAAACCATATGATTATTATATGATATTATTATTTGACCAATGAGTTCCTAGTGGAACATAGGGCTTCAGTAGCACGTCATCATTTCACTCTGTTCTCTGTAGGCTTTTGAACCTAGTTCCACAACTGCCTATTAGCTTTCATTTTTTCCCTAAGATGATCTTCCTCATGTCACCCTTGCTTCGGACGCCCAACTTGCCGTATCCCCTTTGGGTTCCACATGATCATGAAGTTAAATTACAGTTACCCTATAATTTTATCACCGCATTATATGGCCTTGATCCTATGTAGGTCCTTGATTAGAATATGCAGCTATTGAATATCCTCTGGATTCCTAATGATTTTCGTTCATAGTACTATAATGCACATAAAAAAATTGTTTTGAAGATGAATGAAAATTATGAACATTCTGTGTCACAGTACTAAATGCTCTTAGGTAAATATTACGATTAGATTTGTTGTATCAACAAAACTATCAATCCACCTGTTGTCACAAACTCATTGGTTGGAGAGAAAGAGGTACTCTCAATTGAATAAATATACTGTCTTGCTTACTATACTGTTTATTAATGCTTAGAATGTATGTACCTTTCTGATTCTGAATCGTTTTAACAAACAGACAGAAGGATATATATATGTACTTTATAGTAGACCAATTCACTGATGCGTGTAGATATCGGAAGAATAGGCGTCATAGGAGATAGTGGGCATACATTACATCGCAGCTGGTGAAGAAAGAGGAGAGGAAAAGGAGTACAAATCAGAACAGAAATGAATTAATAAAGTAAAAGTCTGGAACATACATTGAAAGAAGGATCGACTCCTCTCGTTTTACTTTACAACAATAAAAGAAATAAGAGGGCTGCAGCATAATCACCACTGATTTTAATTCTGAGGCTTATTCATCATCGTCCAAGTGGTTGTATGACACCAGGAGCTGTTAGCCATCAGATGGTATTCACCGGTCACCTCCACACTTCTTCCAACTGGGCCCATGGCAGGGGAACAGTCAACATCATGCGTTCCGTTTGGATGACATTGTGCGCATTCATGCATTAGGCAAAGAATCACATCTATTTAGTGAGGGCGAATGGTACTATCTGGCTGTTCAAAACTCGGTAGGTGTAGCGGGGTTCGAACCCGCGACCTATCGGCTAAAAGTCATCTCCATTGGATAGGTTTTTCTCAATCTTGGAAGCTGGTATAGTCGTTTATCCATCCAAATCAACATAGGATCAGGCATTACTGCGTAACCGCTCGACTTGCCACACCTCATATCAGTACATCAAGTAAAAAGACACTGAAGTGGAAGATGAAGAAGAGGAAATTTAATCAAAAGAAATGTGAATTACTAAAAGAGAGAAAGGAAGAATGACAAAATGGTGAGATTCAGTATAGCATCGTTAAGATGAGGATAATGTGTGTATACATGTGCTCCACTCACATCGGTTCTGACCACGTCATCACCTACAGTCTCCAACCACTCATTCCTCCTCTTCTCCCACCGACCCCAACCACACAGTCTGCATTAACCCACACGGCTCAAACCAACAGTCAAACACTTCACACATTGACGCCATGTTTTAGTCTATCCACCTGGAGCTTTTTTCCAGTCTCGACCTACTTCCGACAACATTGTGTCACGAGGCAGACAGCGACTAGGCATACGTAACACGTGTCCCAACCATCTCAGTCGATAACGACTCACAACCTTATTATCTGACTTACCTCTTCTTCCTAAAACTCTACACCTAATCCTACACCTACACCTAACATCTGTGTTACTCATGTGGTGACACCGGAATACAGAATACCGCATATACTACTACGAATGCAACATCCGTCAAACACCTGAAGCTAGCCTTCTCATGTCTTCCACCTTCAATCACCATGTTTCACAGTCATACAATAGAACAGAGCGGACTGTTGTCCAGGTGCGGTACACGCCACCTTTAATAGACAATCGGATATCATGGAGGCATCACAGGTGGCGTAATTCGGCAAAACCAGCAAAGACTTTTGTATTTGTGCAAAGATTTCAGGATTTTCAGATTTTTTCATCAGGTTGGTACTGAAAAGCGAAGCTAGAAGAAGGGGAAAGTAGAAACTGGACAACGGAATACCACTTAAGACAAACTAGGAGGAGAGACCGATTGCTGCTACTTTTGACACGGTGGTCGGGCTTGAAAATCAAAATGACCCAACGATGTATGCTGATGGAATACTTTTTCCCTCGAGGTCCTCAGCCACTGACCACTCCACCAAAACTGATCCTACTTCCCAGGTAAGTGAAGTGGTCAACACACTCAATCACTACACTCTATATTGCTAGCTGACGCACCATTGAAGACTAATCCTGATCGTTTATTAACTTCTTAGTCAAATAAAGTGAATGGTTAATTGTTTATTTTATTCATATGGTTTTATTTTTATCTCACTTTATAATTAACTAAATTTCTTTGATACTACTTTTCCTGTTTTTCCTGTCTTTAGTGAAGAAACAATGTCAATGTTGTTGAATCGTATCTTGTGCAGTGAAAATGTCCCATCGTCTATTGTAGTCAATTGTGTAAATGTATTTATGGCTGTAATGGATAAACGGAAACCGTAAGTCTAACTTCTCTTCTACTATACTTCTATGTATTAATGAACACTTAGCGGTTTTTACTGTATAGTCGTTGGCATAGAACATCTAAGGCTTTGTTGAATATCAGCAACGTACATACATGCTCAGTAGTTAAATACTTCTTAGTTTTCCATTATTCTTTTATGATGCAATACTGAATCTCACCATTTTGTCATTCTTTCTTTCTCTCTTTTAGTAAATCACATTTCTTTTGATTAAATTTCCTCTTCTTCATCTTCCACTTCAGTGTCTTTTTACTTGATGTACTGATATGAGGTGTGGCAAGTCGAGCGGTTACGCAGTAATGCCTTGTCCTATGTTGATATTGATGATGATGATTACTCCTGTTAAAACCGAAAGTACAGTATTATTTAGTATAGGTGAAAGAAAGATGAAGATTTCTACCAGTGCATTAATGTGCTAGTTGTAATGTCTGTACGGGATGGTATTCTTATACCAACATTGTTTATTGTTGTCTCATTTATTCACATTGTTGGTTTTTCATTGTTACACTAAATCGAATTAGTATTTTTACTAGTAGTAGTGGTAGTATTAGAAGTACTAATTGGAAGTAGAGTTGAATGGTGTGGATTAGTATGGGTTGAAGTTTATTTAACCGTCATTCACCAAGGCAACAATTTTTTTGTTGTTAGAATTGAAATGTACTCACCAACTACGTACATATTCGTGTAATAACCAATGAAATACGCCTGATTGTGTGAAGCGTAGGGTACAGGCAAGACAGATAAATTGATTGATGAGGTTGTGAACCTTCATCGACTGATGTGGTTTGGGCAGGTATTGCATATGCCGATCCACCATCTACCTTTCATTCTAGGAGAAGTTGGATTAGGTTGAAAGATGGATCATGGTGACCAGACCAAGACTTTACACCAGTCGATAAAGTCTCTGACTAATAGCCTGAGCCATGTGAGGAGATGACTTCGTGGTTGACTTCCCTAAAATGAAAGGAATCAGTGGTTGATGAGGACTCTTGGTTGAAAATCAGTCACAATGGTGCAGATGTATTCACTTCTTGACATTTTTTAAAAATGCTTGAATATTCGCACTAAATGTTATCTTCAGATCGTTCGTTCTCTTACACAACTTTATCTTTTCTATCCACTTGTTCTTTGTATACTGCTGTGAAATGTGTCAATTTGAACCGGTGTACATGTGTGCCAGGTTTTACGTTGATTTTATCTATCATGCTAGCAGTCTCTCACTCGGTTGACGTTTATTGCACGGTACATTCCCTCCCCTAATTTATTTAGGGTGGAAGAAAGAAATTTGAAATGAAAAATGATTGGCTGGTTCCTCTGTTTAGGAGTCAATATGTTTGTGTGGCCAAGGTACTTTCCTACTGGACTAGGACACTTACTCGTAGGATATGAGCTTAGATAAGCTACCTGTATTTAGATTGGCTTATAAAATCATTACTTGTCATATAAATTCTGTTTTAAGAAATTAATCGCCTTCAGGTTAAGATTAAATCCAAAATGAATCGAAAATTTGTGGCGAATTTAATTCTATAGTGACTATATTGTGTAATATTTCAGGGAGCCTGTTTCAAAACGCATTGAGTGTAACTGTTGTTATAATAATTGTAATTTCCTGTTGTTATACAGTGCTGAATTGCTCGACCTCTGTTGGTATATAGGCTCCTATGTGGATACCTTGATATTACTGCTGATTCATGATCTAACGTTGATCTCGGTGACTAACAGAGCACTCTAGGACTATTATCATAAAGCAGTGAATTGCAGGGATAATTGTGAGTTAAGAGCCACCGAGTAACTGTCCAGAAACCTTCTAAGAACTTCACGAGCACGAACGCCTGACAAGAACATTTCAGGGATATTCTATGAAGTAAATAATGAAAACAAACAGAACTGACCTTCTTGTCACTACACCAACTATTGACTGGCGTTCACTAGCCTTAAAGCAAACAAACTTAACGTAAGCTCTTCAGTCACCTTGCAAATGTGAATCTTGCACAACGTAGTGTATGTACGTCTGTTTCTCATACTCCTTCAGGGTGACCTTAAAATCTTCTAAAGACGGAAACGCGGCAAGACAAAAACGCTCCATAAAAATCGATTCGTTTTCGATTACAACACTTTGGACAGTATCGTCGGTCATCATGAAAACGAAGCAACCTGTCCTCAGTTTGCTGCCTTTTATAGTACTTTTCGATTTTATGCAACTATAAACATGAGACATTTCATCATCTATTTTAATTAGACAACATGTGACACAGGGAGTGAAGGGGAACGGGTAGAAAATAACAGTTACCATGGTCTAACTGTATTTCTTCTCACTCTATGAGTTATAAATTTCTTCAATATAACTTCTTTTTTTTTCTCATATACATTTTAGTGAATCTTGTTTTTCTGTTGGAGAGAATGGTGAGACATTAGGTTGTGAATCATTATTTCAAGGCGGTCTTCTACGTCCTATTGATGCATGTTCAGGTGATAATAATGGTATTGGTAATTTTAATCCTTTTGTAAATAATAACACTTCAACAGATAAAAATGGTAATAATCCTATGATTTCCCTTCAAGATAACGTTATTATTGACAAGGATTATGATATGAATGGTGATGAAGGTAATGGTATATCATCTAATGTTGGTGATACTTCATCGGTTAATGATGTAATTGATGATGATAATAATAATAATACGCTGACTATTGATAAATTGCACATTTTAAAAGCTTCTGAAAATCTAACCAAAGCATGTTTACCACGTTTAAGTGAACTTCATGAATTATTGAAAAGATTTCATTCAGTGAGTTTAAATTCTGAATATAAATAATTATTTTATCATTTATCAGTTACATTAATAACAGAGATTTATTGATGTTTCATAGTAATAAAAGTATTTTATGACTACGAAGGCTGTGGCGTTTTAACTAGTCATGTACACTTAGTTACAGATTCTCTTCCAGCGTAATCCTAGGGGTGGACAGTTATATTACACTAATCAAGTGAATTACGGGGGAAAAAACGTTAGTCATTGATGAGAAACCTTAGTTGAGAGGAATGAGTCTACAATTGATTCACAGGGAAGATAGCTGGAACGATGAATATAACTCTTTGTTTATGCGCTATCCAGTTGGATCGTGAATGGAGTATTGTGAAATGTCCTGCAAGTTTTGGGGGATTTAAGAAGATTGCAAGTAATCTGAAACGAGTGAGGGTAATAGGAATGGATCTAACTCTAGGCACCGTAATTTCCATGGGTTGGTTTACTCCCAGGAAGAAACTTGGAGTATGCAGATCATATTATCTTGTTAGGTGATGACACTGAAAAAAAATGTAGGACTTTTAGAATCCCTTGAACAGAAATCAGTATGTTTCGTCAGCGTTTCGCACCGGTCAAATATCAGATGAGACTTCAGTGCTAACCTGCACCTACTTTGAGTTTAAGGATAAAGAGTTTATCGTTAGAATGCGTTAACAACTTCACGTACTTCGAGAGTTGCGTCAGCCTGAACGTGCTGGCTTGGATATAGAAGGTCTGTTTGGAATTTGCCAGTCTGCATCATTTCTAGGGCCGAGTGATCGGATATCTGACTACCCATTAAAGGATGAGTATACATCGATTGGTCACTGGAAAGTGACCAGTTTCATGTTGTCTAGTAGTCCTGCTTTACTTCAGACTGAATTCTATCGATCATTTTGCAATTTGACCACCGAGGTACGAGGCTCAACATCTCGGTGTACTTTGATGGATGCTAGTTGACTCAAGACAAATCTGAAATCTGAAGGGAAATAGTGTCTTAATCATACAGGGGTTCTTGGTGACAAGTGCCAGCAAACACGATACCTACATCCTCAGGGCTTTCTGCCGATTATCTCTAACCAGCTAACATGAAATAAAGTGCCTAATCCATAGGTTAAATTTTTCTGACATTCACTGTACATCTTTCTCACTATCGACGCTGAACTGAATTTCAAGGTCATTCTCTGAACACTACTCTTGTGTTCTTTTGTAGTTACTTTGTAAATTATCTGACATCTCATATCAGTACACTCTTCTCGCTTCTGATTGGCCACTTTCAAGGACAAGTTAGTCTTAAGATTCAACCAATAATAACTAACTGAACATTTAATAGTTATTTCAGTTTAGTTCAAAAATCCTAAAATAATTATATATTATCCTTAGATTAAACTACAGGTATTTCATGGTATAAGTTGATTGATGTGTGTGTAACAACAACAATGGTTTCTTAATTTAAATGTCATCAGCTGGGAAAATTGACAAACATCCTAATAAAGTATTGTAAAACCATTTGATATGCAAATCGATCCCTTAGATTCATTAAACCATTAAATTGTTTATTATGCTATATTCTATTTTTTTGCCTTAATGACTCATCAAATCTTCTTTCTTCTACTATATCTTATCTGTCTTCTAAAAAACTGTGTCGTTCAGTAGTTCATGAATTTTGTGACGCAGACATTGAAGAATTTACCCAAGCTAAAAATAGCCTTTATTCATTATCATTTATCAATAAAGTAATTATGAAATCCTCGGTTTCTAATGTAGATGACTCACTATCCGTAATTATCTGGGTTGATTTAATGGATTAAATATTCTAAAGGTCATGCAGAGATGTCTCGTTAGCCTTCATATTTAGACAAAGTGAAAAATTAGATTATTTAAAATTCAGTGAAATATTTAACTTGTATTTGTTTTAATGAAAGGAGCTTAGCATTGTTTTACAGGATATATCAACAAGTTAGTCGACAAATCAATCCTTACAAACAACCAGTTAAATTACTACCTAGTGCCCATTTTTTGGAAATGCTTCAAGATAACCTTTCTAAATCTCTAATGATAAACCGTAATCTGCGAGGTCAACCATATTGGTAGAAGCTGGGAAGCGGGATGGGTAGCGTAAGGCATAAATACTGGTCGATAGCATTAAATTATGGCTATTGTATGCCACGAGTTGACAGAAGTAATAAATAGAGTGGGTCATTGAATTTCGAACTAATGGCTATATGGTAAAATACTCGATCCGTCAGTCAGTCTTGGATACACATTGTTCAAAAGTCCCGAACTAGGACACAGCGGTTGTGCAGTGCTCTCAACTATTCAATAGCCCTTTAACTGATGTCAGTGCATGTTGAACGCTTCCGGTATTCGGCATGTTGCTATGTAAGCTTTAACATAGCTTAGCCTACATCAGTGGTCATGATTCTATTTGAAAGAGTGTATGAAATGAATAATTTTTAGCCTAATTTTGAGTAATCTCTTCATCTACTGTAATATTGTAATCCAGTTCTCACCGGTGACCAGCTTCAAGAGGTGATTCCTGAAGTTCCAATGAAAAGTTCTGACTGATGGGGTAAACCGGGTGGACGTGAAGATGAATACTCAACGATGGTGGTGGTCACGCTATATCGTGAACTGACAAAATTAGGGAATATGGACCATTGGATTCCGACCCAGTGGTTTAATGGTAACATACTGGCTACAAAACACGAAGGTCCTGGGTGCGCACTGCTGAGGAGTCGCATAGTAGGACGAAACAGCTGTTTCTTCAACTGATGTCAGTTCATGATAAATACTTACCTGAAATCAATTAATAAATCCCCACAAACCACTAAATTGAAGTAATATTTTTAATCTAGAGTACCGCATTAAGCTTACATGGCAACATAAACACTACCACTCGCAAATGAATCACTTGAAGTATGAACATGAAATCATAAAGTCAGTTTCAAGACTGATCATGAATTCATCTTTCTGATATTCTCAATATTGATTTTGACTTTATCGATTTTTTACCAAAAAAAAAAGTTGTTATACTGAAACACTTTTCAGTGTAACGTTCACTTTAAAGTCAGATCATGTTATGCAATCTATATGTATATATAGGTCAGTTGAGTCATATATTAATTCAAGTTGTTTCCAGTGAATTTCATGAATTCACTATTCGATAGTAGAATCATAACAATTCTGTGTTAATGAGATGAAGTTTTTCACCTTTTCATATTCATATAACTTTTTTCTCTGATAACGGAATCTGTTATGTGACTACTTTAGTGGGTGTTGCTGATCAGAATGGATACAAGTAGTATATGTTGAGAGGGCGGCAGAAATCATAGGGAATTACCAGTAATGAGAGCTCAGAGAAACGCAAAAGACAATGTGGACGTATTAAGAGCCAATGAAGATAGAAGCAGAAGAGGAAATGAAGCACAATACACAAATCACTATCATAGTGGAAGGTTTACAATATTTGATGACTGACTACTGTACAAGATGTCAATAATAGACATTCCTTCCTTCGTCCCATCGTTTTCTACAATTTCAAGCTTCGCCTCCAGACGTTCAACCATTCTCTTTCAAGTCTCCTCATCTACACATCCCACCCCGTCATATACCGCTCTACCCCACAGCAACGTGCCAAGCACTACGACCTTCTCTCTTGCATCCCGGACACCCACCAGCTCCGCAACCGACTTGGAGTCCCTAAGATAGACCTTGATGTCTTCATCATCAAACATTGTTGTTTCCTTCACTACCTTGAGTAATCCTGTTTCAATCATAGTTAGAGTTGAAAAGATAACACAGAAACCTTAGGAAAAACATGTTCAACATTTTGATTGGTCATTGGAGAATAATAAGTTTCATATCATCTTATCCAAAGTGCTAGTCGAATTCAATCGATTATTTTTGCAATACAATCACCAAGCCATGGAATTCATCATCATAGTGCACTTTGATGGTTGGAAACCCTAGACATAAGTTTCAGCTAAGGACAACAGTTAGAGACTTCATGAACTGACGCCAACTTTTAGTCTGGGAGCTCTCAGACTTATTCTAGTGTAAATCAGCATGTAGCGTTGCATTTTGAAAAAGGCGGTGGATTGGCATGCGCAACATATATCAAACTACATTACTCGATGAAGGTTCACAACCTTATCAGTCGACATAAGTAATTTTCCTTGTTTAATTCCTACTAAGTAAGTGAATTGTATTGTACCTAATACTGAGTTTATATGTGGGAGGAAATTCTCGATGTGTCCTTATTTCAACACAGTGAATGTGTCATCTAGATGACCGGGATTCACAGCCTCCATTGTGTTACCCTGTAAGGAAAGTACATCGTAGGATCTTCAACGAGGCTGGTATCAGGGCGGCATTTAAACCTATAAACTCACTCAGAGATAAGGTTTGTTGGCTAGCTGAAGGATCCGATAAAACGAATTAAGCAAAATAACGAAATCTATGAAAGCCTATGTAATGACTGTGAGTCAGGTCAAGTAAGTACAACATAGGTGAAACTAGCCCGGCTGGTCGGTGTCAGTTGGAATAGTGAAACAGGAATTTAGTTAAATATAGAGTGATAGAGCCGAATAGGATGCAATAATCTAGAAAAAATACTCGGCTATTGCAGTGCATTGCATGCACTACCTACCCCACAACCAAACAATAGAGTGGGTGAGATAACACCACTGTGTATGAGTCGAATGTAATTAGGTGGGGAGAGAGAGAGAGATAACTGAAACTTTGTTCATCGATCGAATCAACGTTACCCACCACATGTTATAGGTATGATGCAAGACGTATACCAGAGATATGGAAAGGCATAATTGCCAATGGAAACAAAGAATACGCGGTAAGAGGACTGACTGTAGAGGGCAGATATTGTTATCTGTGTGATTACATTGATATGATTATGAGCAGTGATAATTTATGCTTGGAACGTCATCCAGTGAATAATGGTGTCTCACTCACTATGTGCTACATATCAAATCAACAAATGTAGTATGGAATTCCATTCTACCACAGTGCTCAAGTTTTACATATATTGCTGTGTGTCTGTGTTCCAGGTTTCTGTTGTCTCATCTAAACCTGTTACCTCTTAATAATAAGTAGTATGATGTGAACGAATGAATAGCGAATAACGAATCATATTAAGCTGAAAATGTCCTCATTTCATCTCTTTTTTGTTCAATTTTCTCATATTCAGCAATTTTACAATTGTATGCCAACTACAAATGGTATATTGAATCCACCTCTTGGTCGATGTCGTTTAGCTATTGTACAGTTTATCACTGCTCTTACATCCCTTTCCATCAGTAGTACTCAGTTGTTTAAAGCAATTGTGGACACTGGATTTGTGAAGACTTTAATGGTAAGTTAGTTATTCATACATCGTTGAGTATCTTGCTTTGCTGAAATTTTTCTATTTCTGTGAATCACAGCAGTTATGTTTCAGTGTTTGTTTTCAGCGTTAAAGAGATGGAAAAGGCAACGGTGATTGGTATCGGTGAACAGTTATTTAAACTTATTAAGGAAACTGGGGGGAAAATATCAACAACAGTTAGTGAGATTATAGCAGAAAAGAACGGGTCTGCGACTCACTTGTAGGGGAGACTACTGGAACGATGGGCAGGACACTTCGAGGGACAGTTTCACTGGCCTCCAGTCACCATTACGTTGCCCGCTATCCAGTCGGATTCTGAATGGAACATTGAGATAGACCCCGCAACATTTGCAGAAGTCGAGAAAGCTGTAGGTAACTTGAAACGAGGAAGGGCAGCAGGACCAGACAGACTAACTCTTGAGGTACACAAGGATGATATTGGTAAGGTGCTCTTAGTCAGGTTAACGGAAGTGTTAGGTAGTATATGGGAATCAAATACGATCCCCTGTGAGTGGTCTAAATCACTGACTATTCCAGTCTTCAAGAAAAGTGAGAAGTCCTGTTGTGATAACCACGGATGAATCAGCCTGACAAACATAGTGTCTGAGATTCTAGTTTGTGTAATTCTTCGACACCTGAGTGGAGCCCAGGAACATAGAGACCGAGAAAACTAGACATGGTTTAGACACAACTGCAGGTGTATTGACGAAATATTCACACTACACCATGTTCTGGAACACAGACACGCTTACAGACGCCGGCCACTAGCTGTATTTCTCGATGTGAAGGTGGTGGCACCTGACTCCGTTGATGGAGAAATCTTATGTGAATGTCTCTGAGTGAAATGCGTGCTGAGTAAGTACATGAGCTTGTTGAAGGGTGTGTACTCGAACACTTGTGTGTGTGTTAGAGCCTATGGTGAGATGTCGAAGGAGGTGTACTTACTTGTTGAGTGGTGTTCATCAAGGGTGCCCACTGTCTGTATTCTTATTTAATTTTATGATAGAGATTGTTATGGAGGTTAGTGTCTCTCTCGTGACCTGACTACACAGAGGTTGAGGTAATGGTGGGAGGATTTTCGTTAGACGTAGAATACTGAGATGAGATAGTGAGTCGTGTTAGGTGAAGACGCTGACAAGATGGTGGTGGTGGTGGTGGTGGTGGTTGGGGAGTGGGGTGGGGTGGGGTGTTGGATGGGGAGAGTCTTCTGTAGAGTTTGAGTGTGAATTTGTGAATGTTTGTGATGCGTTTCTGACCACGGAAATGTAAATTGTTGGTCTGGGAATGGTGTTCGACGGTGCATTGACTAACAGTAGTGAGTGTAGTGAGTGGTTGAGTGTGTTGACCAGTTACTTGAGTTATCTGTGAAGTGATGTGTGATCATCGGATACGTGTTTGGTTAGTGTTCGATGAAATGTGTGGAGGAATGCAGGAGGCTGTGTTGGGTTTTGTGAAATTACGCTACGTGTGATGCCACGGTGATATCGGATTGTTGTGTATTAATGGTGGTCCGACTGCACGTGTGCGTCAGTGCTTTCTGTTCTATTGTATGACTATGAAACATGGTGATTGAAGGTGGGAGATATGAGAAGGGTGTGGCTGTAGATGTTTGATGGATGTTGCGTTGGTAGTAGTAGTAGTATATGTGGTATTGTGTATTGTGGTGTGACCACGTGAGTAACACAGAAGTCAGTTGTAGGTGTAGGTGTAGGATTAGGATATATGATATATATGATATTGCGAATATCATATAAATTCCAACATTTGATTTTCATTCTTTGGCGTATTCAAGCTTTCAATAGTCGGATAAATTTAGAGTGATAGAAACCTCCACTGTTGCCATATCTTCAGTGTCACTCAATATACTAGCACAGAGCAACACCCCTTAACACCAATTAATGCGGGTGTCTAGACTGCAGAATCTTTGGCCACTAAGTTTATGAAGAGAGAGGGAGGGACAGATGTGAGTACGAACTGTTCCGTTTTCTTGAATTGCGCTCAAAATTGTGTAAAGGATCCTACTTTGGTTTTCTGTTGGCTCATTGGTCTAGGTTCTCGATTTGTAATCAGTCAGTCACTAGCTTGATCATTGCTCTATCTACTGAGATCTGAGTAGTATTGATAATCTTCACACAGTAGGACTTGGTTCATCATCGCCTAATGTATGCAGTTACTGAGGTGCTTCTTTTTTTTCTGTCTATTCGCGTGTTATATCTCAGTCATTGTAAACTATTCTATCCATGCTGATGTTGATTTCACTGAGTGCTGATTACTTTACTGGGAATCAAATTTACTTCCAGTCAATTACTAGTACGCTTGATCAGCTTACTTTAACAATTTTGTAGTAGGAAAATGGTGGAGCTGTGACTCATTGGTTTGGAGAAATGATTATCAACCTGTGGGTCAGGGGTTCGAAACCCGCTTCACCTACTGAGGTTTTGGCAGCCAGGTAGCATCACTAGCCCTTACACAATAGGTGTGGCTCATTGCCTACTGCACGGATGTATACAGGGATAGCTGAGTGTGTAACGTTCCATTAGGATAATGAAGGCCATCTGTTTTCAGACGACTTCAATTACGCATAGAGTAGAAGCATTAGTCTTTACTTTGATTTAGTTTACCATCACAGAAGTACTGTGAATAAAAAATAGATCCACAAAAGTTCGTGGATTCAAGGTACCACAAAATTCTAGATAGCACTAAAAAAGAAAGAAAGAGAGTATGTCGATAATTAAGATAAATGAAGAAGAAAAATACTGATATGCACCACCTATGGTCTTCAAACATTAGTAATTTCTAGTATTCCGAAGACTCCAGTGAGCAAGACATACAGTATTCTTTCACCGCTAAACCCCAGTGTCCTTGGTTCAATCTCTGGAGGGTGGGGTTATGGTTACCTACTACTGAAGAGTCCCATACTAGGACGAAACAGCTGTTCAGTGTTTCCAGGCTCTCAATGGTTCTTCAACTGATATCAATCCCTTGATGTAGACCAACTTGAAATCAATACCCCCCCCCCGCCTATAAATCCCTTGAAATCGAAATGAAGTGAAGTAGACATTTCGGACTTTTGAAGAAAATACATTTTTACACTTCAGATGATAATTCTTTTTCCCTTGATACCTCCTTCTGAATTGGTGCAATTGTTTCTTTCTTTGTAATTCAGGAGTTGTTTGAACAATATCCATTGAATACATTTCTGCATCATTGTGTTGTTGACATCTTGAAATCTTTGTTCAAACATTCACGAGTTATCACTGGTAGTGATATTAACTCTTGTATATCAGGTAAATCAAACAAGCCTTCGAATAATTCCGCTCCTGAAGGCATTATTACTGAACAAAATCAAAATGACAAGCAACCAACTGAATCTCTATCTTCAGTATCTTTACCTTCACCTTCGTTCAATTCATCATCATCATCGTCGTCTTCTTCTCCTGTTACTGCCACATCTATAATTGCTGCTGTAGATAGTTCAATTGATTCATGTAGTGCAGCTGTTATCGATCAATATGATGTGAAAAGACAGTGTAGTGAACCTTGTAAACCTTCTGATATTGGCGCTACTACTACTTGCTATGATGAATTAAGTAGTATCTTCGTCAGTTTAATAAAAGATTACCATATCATTGATTGGTGCCTACGATTATCTCCTCTACCAGCTCGAGATGAACGGTAAGTTGACTTGTTCTATGCGAATTGTTTATCAAATAGTCAATACCTACAGTAGTATACTCCGGTGGATATCATGAAAATGTGGTGTTAGAGTAAATTATGATATATCATCATTGAACCGGACTCTTTTTTAAACCAGCTTGTTGTACGCTGTCGATTTCGATTGATACTATCAATATAAAGTCATGGCTCAATGGTCTAGGTATTAAACTGTCAGACTTCGAGTCATCGATTCGAATCCCACTATACTTAAATCGAATGCTTTAGGTGTGACTGATAGTCTAGTATGCAAGTGATTACGGATTCGGATTATAGGCGTTTCAAGCAGACCTTATCTTTCAACAATCGTCTAAAATTAAGCATTATTTATTTCTTAAACAATGGGTAATATTTTTTTATTGTGATAAATATTTGCACTGTCTTGGTTTTTAGCGATGTTTACTGCATCTTCGAATCTCTTGTTTGTAATTCACATCACTAGGGGAATTTTCATATTTTGTAACAGGTACCCCCCTCTCCATAGCCCTCCATCTCGCCTCAACCTCAACCGAAGGCAGCGAAGGGGTTAGCATTCACAAAAGGCACCGGTAGTCATCAGGTTCGAGTGTACTGCTCAGCAGTTCGTCCTTTTCTTCTAAATAGCTAAGAAACAGCTATCAAAGGCGGAGTACATGAAGAGGATTCAGGTGATCCACCAACGTCACCTTTTATCCTTGACTATATTTCGTTGAACTAGTATATAAGTAATGTAAAAAATCAAGGGTATAACATCAGACGAGAGAAGTGAGGCAACATCTGAAGTGGCATTGATGGCACCATTTAACTTTGTCTATCTAGAGGTGCTGTTCTAGCAAGTATGTAACCGTAATCTAAGTTCTTTATCGAAACTCACTCAACTGTGTAAAGGCTTACAGAGAGTTGTCATCTGGAGTTATACCAATCAGCAAGTAGTATTTGTCACAGATGCTGTTACGGTTTCTATTTGACTTCGTTATCACTTTACTAATGAACATAATCTCTTAGTTACCTCCATAGTCGCAGGGATTGACCTACTGTACGGAGGGCATGTATGTTTACTTGGAGTATGCAGACGACATTGTTCTATTAGGCGTAAACACTGACAAATGAAAAGTCTTCTGAACATGTCTATGTTTCGCATGCGTTTCACACTTGTAAAACATAACATGATAATCCCACGACTGATCTGCTTCAAGTACTCCCAGTTTAAAGGTAGGGAGTGAAGTGGTGGGATGCATTGATCATTTGGTTGACGTAGTGATTTGCACCAACCCAAGCAGGCTGGCTGACGAAATCTCAGCTCGGATACAAGAGGTGTGTTAACCATTCACCAACTTGGTTAGGGTCATTGACACTATTTGAATCCACGAATAGAGACTTGGTAACATTGATTGAAGCTCGCTTACAATAAATCGAATGCATTCATTTCGAAGCCTTGAACATTTTATCTTATCTTGATTTTGAACTTTTCTTCTCCTGTAGTCTTTTATCTACTTTGTTATTACTCTTTTTCTACGTAGTTATTGTTTGCATGATGTTATGAATTGTACTGACTTGAACCGACCCACTTCTATAGGATGTTCTACGTGGATTTGGTTGCTATTTGTAGTGATTGTAACTTGTATTACACATTGAAATGATGGGGAATATTTGTAGCTCAGATGGATGGTCATGATTGTATTCTGCTCTCTAAGCTGGGTGGTTTAATCGTGAAGCTTTCATCGTCTTTCTAGACGACATCATCAGCACTAACTTCAATATGAAGTGACCTATCAATATCTCTCCGTCGGTGAGTGATTCAGTAGCTTGCCCTGACGAACTGGTTTGTGATTGGTTTTTTACTTCAATTGTTGTATCATTGAGTGTATAGATTTTCCCGTTGACTGTTGCTCTGCTTCACCTCTGACCTTTCTGTCTTTTATCGTTTTTCTCATTGGTTGATGGATTGGATCCAGTCTATACATCTATTGATTGCTGATTGATTGATCTGAATGTCAAGTTTCTAGGAATTCTCTAATATTCTTTGTGTTTCATCTCTCCTTCGAAGACTTCTACATTCTCGAAATTGAATTCGTGTCCATAATTATCCACGTGCATTGAAATGAGTGATGAAATATCGTGACGTTTAATAGCCATTTCCAGTCACTGTCTCTCCTGACTTGCAATGTTAGCTTGATTGGTTTAAGCCTGGAGAAAGGTTGAAGGTGGTCAGGTTAATATTGTAACATACGCTTATAAATTCTCAGAATATTTATTTGAGCCATACAGGAAATGTAAATTTCTCAGTTGAATCTATCATAATTGAATTTTGAGGGAGTTGTGGGGATTTGGAAATATTTGAAGTTGTTATTCATCGTAGAATGATATCAGTTGGAGGAAAAAAGGGAACCTGGGGGCATTGGACAGCTGTTTCCTCCTAGAATAGGGCTCCTCACCAGTGCGCACCCACGACCCTCCTAGGGATCGAACCTGCGACCTTCAGGTTTCGTGGCCAGCACGTTATCATTGAGCCACTGGGTCAGAATCCAGTAGTCCATATTTCCAACTTCTGTTAGCTCACGGTATATCGCAATCGCCACCCAATATCATTGTTGAGTAACTGTCCTCACGACCATCAGGCTTTGCCCCCACCGGAAATATGGACCATTGTATTCTGACCCAGTGGCTCAATGATAACGCACTGGTCACGGAACCTGAAGGTCGCAGGTTCTATCCCTGATGGGGTCATGGGTGCGCACTGCTGAGGAGTCCCATACTAGGATGGAACAGCTGTCCAGTGCTCCCAGGTTTCCTTTGTTCCTCCAACTGATATCATTCTACGATGATTAACAACTTGATCACACATTAACTTGTCAAAAGATTTTATAGGATGGGGTAAAATAAATAAGATAGTACAAGATTTGAAGAATATGGGGATAATAAGGAGGAATAGTAATACATTTTCACGCCTCCCTTGGTATTAAAATGAGATAAAGGTTACCAAGGTAGGTTTAAAGTGAGGACAATCTGTTTTTGAATACACAAAAGGGGTTTGAACTTCTTTCCTTATAGCTAAGACTTCAATGAATCTAAGTATATGATCTTGACGACTCGTATACACAATGGTCTAAAGGCTGTTTTGAGGTCAATCCTGTGACCTGTTTATATGATGTGTTTACCTATCGACGTTGACGTCTGTCTATCCCCTGTATTTATCGAATTATTTGAATATAGTTGTTTTTCTAGCCATTTGGGGATATATTTCACCATTCTCGACTTCATAAATCGTCGATTACTCCTAATCTATGTGTGTCACCGCATACATATGTAAAGTAGTGTACACAGCGGGATATGACGTGATCATTTTGTTTTCTCGATAATACTGAGCTTGTCTGCGTAGTATGTCTTAATAACTGAATTAAGTGTTCATCTTAAGATCATACTGTTTAATTACCACTTATAATACGGTAGTGTGGTGTAAACATCCTTCTTCGGGACAGAATACTGATTAGTTCATACCATTGAGACGTTTTGATAACGATTGATGAATTTCAGACGATATTCGTTTTCTATGAGTGTCTGTGTTAAAAATGTGAATTCTTCTACCAATGTATCTGTTGTGCAGATGCGTTGGGTTATATTGAATAAACATCTTGCTAAGCCTCGTTTCAACTATGAAACTATGAAAGTTGAGAAACTATACAGTCCACATAGGTTTTCTGTACACTCGCCGTTTTATTGACCTATCTTCCCTTCTAGTTGATATCACATCAAGAAACGGAAGCTAAGTGTTACTATTTTCTGCTTCATACGATAAACCAATATGGCTTTGTACAGTCTTAAGTCGATAGAGAAGACATTCTGCAACCTCGGGTTTGTAACATATAATTGACGTATCATCAACGGACATGCTCACACCACCATTGCAGAAGGTTTGGAAGGAAGAAACGGTACCTCCCCATTGATTAGAAGAGGGGGTCCCTTGTCAAACTCCCAATGAAGGTAGACCTGAGTACTGGCAAGAACTGCTGCGCAATCATGCTGCTGTCCAACCCTACCAAGCAAAATATTAAGCCGCATCATCCTGGAGAGACTAAAACATGCACAGGATTCAATATTACAACCAGAACAGGTTGGCTGGATTCAGGAAATACAAATCATGTGCCGACCAAATTGCAACCCTAAGCTACACATCATCATAGAACAGAGCATACAATGGTAGTCAACTCGATCTTTACCTCAACTTCATCGACTTTGAAAAGGACTTCGACAGCGTCGACTGAGAAGTAGATTGACAAGCAGCTGCTTCAACACTATGTTTTAGTGACACAAACCTTTATCAACCTCATCCAACAACTACATGCTAAATGATGCTACATGTCGAATGACTGACAATGGAAAGCTCAGCTCAGTGATCTCTTTGAAGTGAAGACAGGAAGGAGTAGGACAAGGTTGCCGCATACTATCATCGATGAAATATCTTCCTGATTATAGTCTACTAAACTGGACTGGATCATGCAGCAAACCGTGAGGAGCTGTGAGAACGCGGACATACGCTGGCTGAACAGATGAAAGGACACGCGAAGATTTGGATTTCACCAATAATGATTTATTTGTAATGTCTTGTGGCATAAACTCGAAGATCTACATGCAAAAACTAACAAGTTGGAAGAAGAGGCAGGACAGCGAAGGAAGACGGGACTTCCTTCAGGTGAACGTGGAGAAGATAGAGGTGATGAAGATACCCAAACAACAACAACAACAACGAAAAGCACCAATCACCATGATCAGGAGAAGCCTAAAGCAAGTTGTCTCTTTCACCTACCTGGGCAACATCATCTCAACTACAGGCGGTGGCACAGATGAGGATGTCAAAGCGGGAATCGGATAGACAGCTAGATAGGCCTTCCTTCATTAATCTGAAATAATGAGTGTGGAGATCTACTGCACTCCACTCCCTACGCTCACTCAATATTGACACTGAAGATCTACCAGATGGCCAGAATGATAAGAATAAACAAGGAGGAACTCTAGTTGACTGGCTGAATGACAACGAACCAATCAACAACCTATCGTCCAACAAATGTTCAGAAGAAAGTGAGATGGATTCAATGAGGCATAAACTGAGTGAGAATATCATTGGGGGATATCTCACACGCCAGGCCGTCGAGTGGAATCGAAATGGGAAACGATGAGTTGGGCGTCTGAGGTGAGGGTGATATGGAGGGGATAGTGTGAGGAAGAACTGAAAGGTTATGGGTAGTCGTGGAGTTAGATTAAAAAAGAAGACTGCAGAGAAGAGATTGCAATGGAGGCGTGTTACTGAAGCCCTTATGTCCCACTAGGAACCCAAGGAACAAATAGTAATAGTAATAATGATAATCTTCTGTACAGATAAACGTTGCTTTTAAAATCTTCAGCGAAAGATTCTACATGTGTCATACAGACATGTGTTAAGAATGGTCCCGAAGGACTGCCGATAATGACACCATCGACTTATCGAAAATGTTCACTTTCGAAGGTGAAGTAAGCCTTATCAGTGCATAGTAGTAATAGCTTTTTTTTTTAGGTACTTTAGAGGGGTGGGAACAAGGATATATAGTCACAAAGAATGTTAACAGTCTTGGTTAAAGGCACATTGCTGAATGGTAGTCAGTATTTTCAAAACCATCTTTTAATGCAAACTTAGATAGTTGATTCCTAACTATACTTAGCATATGAGCTGGCAATTTTGCTAATTTATGCATTAGGGAGCGACACATCGATTATATTGGATGTAATTTGATATTCGCTTTATTTATCTTGGGCTAGACCATACTAGTTTAGATGTTCACACTCGCCTTATTATTCCCATATTTTCCAAATCTTGTATTATTATTATATTATTATTTTTCCCTTGAGTTCCTAGTGGAACATAGGGCTTCGTTAGCACGCCTCCATTGCACTCTGTTCCCTGCAGTCTTTTCAGCCTGGCTCCACGACAGCCCACAAGCTTTCATTTCTTCCTCACATCATCTCCTCCATGTCACCCTCCACTTCGGATACCCAACTCATCGTTTCCCCTTTTTATTCCACTCGAGGGCCTAGCATGATGTCCCCAATCGGCCTTCTCAGTGTATTATCATAATTTATTTATTTTTACCCTAATCTCAACCTATTTTTATCCTTTATATAAAATACCTTGACACGTTGATGTGTGTGGTGAGTTTGTTCAAAGGTATTGTGGAATGCATATCACATTTCTGGAGTGATATTTAAGGCTACCCTAGCAACAACTAAAATGAGCTATAAACTTCTGTATTTTATGAAAATCAGCCTTTTCAGACGAAATGAAGAAGGATAATTGGTGATTTCTACTGTTGCTTAGGTGCCCCTGCCTGAGATAACCTCCATCTCCTTATTAGACCATACAAAGGGATTAACCATTTTAACAAAATACAGTACTTGTCTCTTGTATGTTTGCAAGTAGCGTTAAATAACTGTTAAAAAAAATTTTTTTTTTTTAATGTGTTCAGTCATTCATTTAAACGCAAAACATCAAATTTTATGCTTAAATTTATTCAAAATAAGCCAAGTCAATATTCTGAGCGAATTTAAACGCTATTCTAACAACTGCTGAAATAACCAATCAGGTTACGATATTCCTACTGGAAAGGCAGATTTTCATAAAATACAGAAATCTGATTGGTTATTTCAGTAGTTGCTAGGATGGCCTTTGAAGTCAACTTTTATTGTTAGCCGAACACTAACTCAGCCCGATCGTTGTAGAATGTGTTAGCTGAATTAGGTTAAGGCTAGAAACAAGTCCGAACTGGGCTATACTAGGACGTAGTATTGATTTATGCAGTTTATGACTGCTAGTTTGAGGCATATAGGGGGGGGGGGAGAGGTCCATACATTATCTTCATCTTAGTCGCCTTTCCCTTCCTTTGGCCTTCTTTTTACTTAGTTTTATTTCCATGCTTTTGTCTTCCTTATTATTGCCTTGTCTTTTAATGTGATGATGTCAGGTGTCATACACTGGAATGCCAAGTTCTATAGGGCTAATGATTTTCTTTATAGGTGAGTTCTTGAGTCTGCCTAAAATAATCTTAGGAAAATCCTTCACTTTTGTGGAAATTTCTTACTACACGAAATATTTCACTAATGCGGTAGTAGCTTTTAAGAGATTAGTCGTTTCGTTTATCTGATAACAGGAGGCTACAATGATAGTCAAAAAAGTTTTCAAAGTTAGAAGTGTATACTTACCACTACTGACTAGGATAATGTGAAAATCCTCGATAGAAGAAATACAAAGGATGCCTGAGAATTTTTAGAAGCTTGGCATTCAGGTGAGTCAGCAATCAACAGACACGTTAACATCGATCCAATCCATCCATCGATAAGAAAGTTAAAGATCCCTACAACAAGACAACCAATCGATATGAATATGGAGACAATGCCAATGACCTTGGTACAAATGACCAATCACACCTAGGGTCATCAGGACAAGCTATTAAACTGCTTTTAAAAGAAAACCCCATAGCCCACTTTTGTACTGGTGATTTAGTCTACGCTGAAAATGAAAACTTCAAGATTAAACCATCTTGCTCAAAGAATGAAACATCATCAAAATCCTCCTTCTGAGCTACATATATTATACATAAGTGATGAGTAGTTCAGTACATTTTATGTTTAACCCCTTTCTTTTGCTCATTTATCGTTTACTTCTCCATTATAATTTATAGGCCAAATAATCGTTATTCACCTAATTGTTTAGTTCGATTGTCTAAAACTTCTCCAAAACCGGGTTATTCTGGGCATTTATGGCAAATTGCCAATATGATTGAGGCAGCAATAAATGGTCCTCGTGGAGACTTTGTAAAATCAATTATTCAAGGTATGATTTACACATTTTCTTGTATATTTTTGTATGGATCATAGTTTGTTGTCAACGTCATGTTTGTCTGTTTTTTTGATCAGAAGTTTGTATCACTGTGCTATTATTATTATTATTATTATTATTTTGTTTGTCCCTTGGGTTCCTAGTGGGACATAAGGGCTTCAGTAACACGCCTCCATTGCAATCTCTTCTCTGCAGTCTTCTTTTTTAATCTAACTCCACGACTACCCATAACCTTTCAGTTCTTCCTCACACTATCCCCTCCATATCACCCTCACCTCAAACGCCCAACTCGTCGTTTCCCATTTCGATTCCACTCGACGGCCTGGCGTGTGAGATATCCCCCAATGATATTCTCACTCAGTTTATGCCTCATTGAATCCATCTCACTTTCTTCTGAACATTTGTTGGACGATAGGTTGTTGATTGGTTCGTTGTCATTCAGCCAGTCAACTAGAGTTCCTCCTTGTTTATTCTTATTATTCTGGCCATCTGGTAGATCTTCAGTGTCAATATTGAGTGAGCGTAGGGTGCAGCTGTTCATGTATGTATGTCTATAGTTTGTTGGAAATGCTTTTCGCAACGCGTCAAGTCTCTCAACCATCACATAGAAGCAGTGACTGACTCGACTGAATTTTTTTTTTGTTTTTGCATGTAGATCTTCGAGTTTATGCCACAAGACATTACAAATAAATCATTATTGGTGAAATCCAAATCTTCGCGTGTCCTTTCATCTGTTCAGCCAGCGTATGTCCGCGTTCTCACAGCTCCTCACGGTTTGCTGCATGATCCAGTCCAGTTTAGTAGACTATAATCAGGAAGATATTTCATCGATGATAGTATGCGGCAACCTTGTCCTACTCCTTCCTGTCTTCACTTCAAAGAGATCACTGAGCTGAGCTTTCCATTGTCAGTCATTCGACATGTAGCATCATTTAGCATGTAGTTGTTGGATGAGGTTGATAAAGGTTTGTGTCACTAAAACATAGTGTTGAAGCAGCTGCTTGTCAATCTACTTCTCAGTCGACGCTGTCGAAGTCCTTTTCAAAGTCGATGAAGTTGAGGTAAAGATCGAGTTGACTACCATTGTATGCTCTGTTCTATGATGATGTGTAGCTTAGGGTTGCAATTTGGTCGGCACATGATTTGTATTTCCTGAATCCAGCCAACCTGTTCTGGTTGTAATATTGAATCCTGTGCATGTTTTAGTCTCTCCAGGATGATGCGGCTTAATATTTTGCTTGGTAGGGTTGGACAGCAGCATGATTGCGCAGCAGTTCTTGCCAGTACTCAGGTCTACCTTCATTGGGAGTTTGACAAGGGACCCCCTCTTCTAATCAATGGGGAGGTACCGTTCTGCAATGGTGGTGTGAGCATGTCCGCTGTTGTCTCTGCGTTTGTTTTCAGTGCTTCTGGTGGAGTTTCATCGGGTCCTGCTACTTCCTCGGATTTCAGCAACTTTATGGCTTCAAGGACTTCGGCTTTTGTTGGAGTGCTTCTGTACACTGGTAGTTTTTCGGTTGCTATTGGTATTTTTGGACGTGTTGCAGGTGATGGTGGTGGTCGACTCAAGAGTTTGCTGAAGTGGGCACCCCCTTCTATACTTTGTTTCTCCTCTTTGGTAACCAGTTTTGCTTCACTATCTTTCATTGGTTTCGTCTGTGTGGATTTCTCCCCCACCGAATAGTGACCTGTTTATTTGATATAATGTTGTCAGGTTTTGTCTCTCTTACCAGCCGCCTGTTCTGCTTCAATTGCCAATGTGTCGTTGAAGTGTCTTGTGTCTTTGCGCGCGCTCTTCTTCATTGCTTTGTCCAGAGTAATGTTTTATAGATTGTACTCAGTTCCTCTTCTCGTTGTTCATCCCTGCACTTAACTGCACTGGTTCATCTTCTTCTCCCTCCCCTATGAGTTTGCATGTTTCTGTCGAGATCCATCCCATTCCTTGTCTTGTTTCTTTTTCCTTCCTAATAGGGTTATGCAGGTTTCCTTTCTCATTTCTTTCAAAGAGTTCCATTGTCGTTCCACTCCGGTTTCTACAGAGATGTTGCCTAATGTCTCCCATTTCTTACCTGATAGCTGACGTTAAGATACCCTTTGAAGTTTCATCCTTCAGTTTCTGTCCTGGGTGTTGAAGTTCAGTTCAACTGTGGTCTATCATCACCAACTTCTTTGAAGGCTTTTAACTTGATTTGGGAGGTCCCTTGCACTAGATAGTGAGTTGTGTGAACCCACAGTTGCTCCCCTTCTTGATCTTGTGTCCAGTAGGCTGCGTCTCCACTCTCTTGAGATTGAGCTGAAGTTGATCCGAAGTGTATTTTTAGTGTGTCCTGGTGTCTGTTGGAATCAAATCCTTATCACTTTGTGAATATCATTGTATTTGTACACACTGCCTTCAATCACCAAATCGTTGAATGCGCAGAAATCTGCAAACAGTTCTCCATTCTCATTTATTTCACCGAGTGCCTCTCGACCCATGATTGGTTCTCTTTCTGTGTTGTCCGCTCCCAGTTTGGCATTCATGTCACCTCACCCATTCCATTCCATCTACAGATTCCTCGCACTTCTGTCCTTTACTTTCTCATCTGTTTTGTAATCTGGACAGCCTTTCCAGCGAATTTCTTACATAAAGCGTTCAGTTATCAATCATAGAATGCCTTGAACTCCGTTCAACTAAGCAATTTGTTCATTCTATGCAAGCAAATTGTATAACTGACTCGAAATGCAAAAAAAGAAGTATACAGTATAAAGGATTGATATGGAAATGTAAAAATATTATATATTGATACTTCTAATTTCCCTTTGCGCTATTCTGGATCGAATTGATCGACTTATGTTGGCATATGAGCTCTTAAAGCGGATGCTTTGATATTGTCTGATAATTGTTAATGTTGCAATTTACTTGCTGGTGGCTACTATTGGAATCCAGGACACACATTTCGTCCTTCTTGGGAATGATACCTCTTCCACAAGAGGTAGCTCTCCTGCCCTACTAGCCTAATGGATAATGCTTTAGGATTTAAAGCCATGGGTGCTGAATTCGAGTTCCACTCGGCTGACGAGTCCCAAATAGGACGGAATGCTTGTGACCCGGACTCCACTGCTAACCACCACTAAGTAGAAGAAGTTGAAGTGGTTCTCTAGGTTGAGTGTCATTGATTTTCACGTCTTTTTAGCCAGTAGTTTGCTTCCCATGTCTATAAAGGTTTGATTATTTTTTACTTTGTAACCAAATAACTTGAAACTGTACAAAACAGTTATGTTTGCTTGTTTGTTCACTTACACTGAGAATATCTTGACCGTATCCTCTTATTTAAATCAACAAGGGTAATATTTCTTATAGAACCTTAAACATGTTCATCATTGTACATTTTTATTGTATTTGTGTGTGCTCATGTGCTAGAGACAGAAAGTTAGATATAGAAATATTATCCCTTCGAATTCCATCGTTTCACATTGAAAATAACTTGGTATAAAGGAAGTTAACTGTTTAATCACGAGCTTCTTCATTTCATCTTTGCATACGGGGTAGTAGTGCATAGCTTTTGTCTGCTTGTTTTGCCTATGACCTTAAAATAACCTACATGGCACCGTTACTAGTTTTTCTTCCCGCTATTCTCAAGGCTGAACTCTCATTGGTTGTTAACTACAAACAACAGGCTCCAAGTTTCATTTCCGGTTAATCTACAAGACCTGGCTGCTAATCAAATCACGAGTTCGACCCCGATCCACCTACCTAGGTTTGGGCAGCATGGAGTGTCACCAGCCCTGACATCATAGGTGTGGCTCATTACGTACTGCACAGGATAGCTGAATGCGTTATCCAAGTCTTAACTTCTCTGCATTCACTTACCTGGCTACTATATGAATCCTTGATACACAAGCATCTGTTCGTCGTAATCACATTGGCTGCCCATTTAGACCATCTCATCCCACCTACGATTCATGTCGTCTCGGAAGATCCCAGCCAGGTAGTCTTCAGATCCCTACACTAGTCAAACCAGCAGTCGAAGACTTCATGAACTGGTGTAAAAAAACGGGAAGTCAGAGACGGAGGAAGGAATGTTTATTGTCAACAAGTGGTACAGTAGTCGTTAAACATGGTACACGTTGCACTAAGACCGTCATTTGCAAAGTGTGCTTCATTTTCTCTTCTATCTTGATTTGCCCTGAATACGCCCACATTGTGTCTTGCGTTTATTTTAGGAGAATCCTTACCCATTGCTGGTAATTCCCAATGATTTCTACCGTTCTCTCAACACATACTACTTATATCCATCCATTGTGAACAGCAACGCCCACTACACTTGTCCCCACCCCTGTCGAAATTTCAGGCTTGGAGCCATGTTGATCGTCTTGGTGCTGTCTTCTCTTGGTTTTCACTCGCTGTTTCGTCTTTTTCCCACCGCTTCCATTTTTGAAGTAGGCTGGCGTATACTCTTTTCTCTTTGTCCCCTTTTTCGATGGTATAAACTGAACCACGTCTCTCGGTAATGATGTATGGTCCTTCCCACTTCGGGAGCAGTTTTCTCCTACCATATTCACCTCCTGACGTATATCCTCGTTCTCTATATTTCACGTGATCTCCGACCTCAAGCGGTTTCCATTTACTTCCTTCTCTCTGCTGGAATTTTTCAGCCTCAGCTGTTTTTGTTCCACGTTTCTGATTGCCTGTTTCCGCTCGTTTCTCAATCTTGTCATGTTTCACGTCTGTTGTTGGGGCCATGTCTTATTATGTATTGTGAGCCGTGGTTTCCTGCCATATATTAATTGGAACAACGACTTCTTGGTTGTTCATTGTACAGAGGCATGATACGTTAATAATACTAACGGCAGTTCCGTCTCTCAATTCCCTCCTTGTCTTTCGAACCCAGCTGCTCCTTAAGTGTACGGTTATTCCGTTCTATCAAACCGTTAGTCTTTGGATGATATGGCGTGGTTTTTTCCTCTTGATATCGAGCTGTTGCAAACATGATTTGAATTCGTCACTCTCAAAACAAGGACCTTGGTTGGTCAATATCATTTTCGGCACACCGTGATCCGCGACAATATGTATCCTCACCGCTGTGGTCACTGTCTTTGCGAGTTGGTCAGGAATCGCTGCAGCGTCTACGCGTCGTGTGCATGCTCCGTCATCACCAACAGGTACTGGTTGCCACTAGATGTCTGCGGAAATGGTCCCATTACATCCACTAACTGCTGCTACTGGGATCGACTGAAGCGGTGGTCGTACATACCGATCACCTTTCATCAGTTGATAATGAGGACTACCCAGCACGTGTTTGGCAACATCTTCTCTCATACCTGACCAGTATGCACTTTGTCTGAGAAGGTTGGCTGTTCGTGAGACACCTGTATGAGTGAACTGGTGGCACTCTTGTATCATTTTGTCGCGTAGACATTTCGGAATCACTGCTAACCAGCCCCCCATCGTTTTCTCGACACGTCAGTATTCCATAAGTATTCATTCGTAGGTGTTCTTTCTGCGTCGACAACTTTCTCAACTCTTTTTTTCGTAGACGTTTTTGTCTTCGTTCCTTCAGTTATGGCTTTTATCACTTCTTTAGGTGTAGAGTCCGACTTGTGAAGGCGAATAAGTGTTAATGGGTCCCGTTCCACTGCATATTCATCGTATGCGATCTCCAGTAGTTCATTTTCTTCATCTGATCTTGATAAAAAGTCTGCCAACCACTTTCCTTTTCCTGCCTCATGGCCGATTGTGAAATCGTACTCTTGCAGTTGTAGCATCCAACGTGATAGTTTTCCTCTGGCGTCTATCACTATCTTAAGCCACTGGAGGGGTTTGTGATAAGTTTCAATATGGGATCGTTGGCCGAGGAGGCACAACCTCCATTTCTCAAGCTCCCAAACTATCGCCAGACATTCTTTTTCAACTGTGGGATATTTCTGTTCTTCAGGTGTCAGGATACGGCTGGCATACTCCACTGCTTCAGTCTGTCTCAGAACTGCACCTATTCCATAATCACTTGCATCGGTGGACACAATGAATAGCCTCCCAGGTATTGGTAGTTCTAAAGTCATCTGCTGGTCATTTGGGAGTTCCCTGATGTTATCAAACGTTTTCTGTGCCTCCTTTGTCCATGTAACTTTGGGATTGCCAAGTAGCTCATATAAAGGGACTTCTATCTCATTGAAGTTTTTGAGGAATCGAGTGTAGAATGCTGCTCTACTCAAGAACTGTCACAGTTTCCTCTTGGAATTAGGCACTGGAATGGTTTTAAGTGTCAGAATCTTCTCAGGTAATGGTTTTATTTCACCGTTTCCAATTTTATGTCCAAGCAAGGTAACACTCTTCTTGGCTACCTGAGATTTTGTCTTATTGATGCGAAGTTTAAACTCGTCAATGCGTCTTAAAACAGCTTCCATGTGTTTTAGATGTTCTGCTTCCGTCTGACTGTAAATCACCATGTCGTTATCATACACCTCTACGTCCTCTAAATTCTTCAACAACACCATCATCAACCATCCAAATGTAAATGGTGTGCCTGCAAGACCAAATGGCATTCATTTGAATTGGTATTGTTTCCTGCCCACAATGAATGCTCTCTCTTTATCGACTTCTTTTATTGGGAGCTACCAGTAGCCCGAGCGGAGGTCCAGAACTGTAAATACCTTTGAATTCTGCAAACGATCCAGTGTTTCAGCTACCATTGCCATGGCACACGGCTTCAGTTGCGTTATGCTATTTAACTCTCATAAATCAACGCAGAAATCTATATTTCCCATTGGATTTTCTTACTAAAAGTACTGGCGAAGTGTATGGGCTATGAGCCTCTTCATCTGGCATTTCCTGAACCTGGTGCCCAACTTCTTCTTCAAAGTGACATGGTATTCGGTGTGTTATAAATATGGTCATTGCTTGACTTGTCGCTAAGATTTCATGGTGAACTTTGTCACAGTATCCGTAGGGGGTCTCCATCTCCTGTGAACAACTTGTCGTATTTCTTAACCAACTTCTTGATGTTTGGCGCTTCTGGGTGTGTTGCTTTTGATACCTTAGTACCTGGTACCTTGCTGTTTTCCTGCATGGTGAACGATCCGTACTTCGTCGCCACTGTTCTTGTTCTCGTGTTAATAACTGTACCTACTTCTCGAAAAAAAAATTGGCACCTAGGATTGACCGTTGTAGACACGTGGTGATAATGAATGGAAATCTAATTTTCTGACTTTCGATCTCGACGACGCGATCTGATAAGACTGCAATTTCTAATCCCCAACCGTATGAACTGTTAGCACACATGGTTTTATGTTCTGAGACTAACTCTTATCTATCAGCAAGACTGCCACCCCCGTATCTATTAGACACATGATCTCCTGATCATTTATTCTCATTCTAGCATATACACCACCTCGCATGTGTATTATATCCGTTTGGAATATATTTTTAGATTTGATATTTTTACCCATTCTTTTCTACTTGGGAAAAGAAAATTTTCTTCTTGAATCTTTTATCTATCAGTGATTAATGCATGTTAAGCGTTCTAAAAATTTTAATTATAAAGATTATTCTAGAGTAGTAATGATTGATTTGGATTTTCATTTAGAAATAAATATGAAAGATTCTTGGTCAGAATTCGTACAACAGGATCTCAGCATAATTAACTCCATACAAGTTACTGAGGTAAGTTAATGTGTATATATATATATATATATATGTGTGTGTGTGTGTGTGTGTGTGTGTGTGTGTGTGTGTGTGTGTGTGCACCTGTTATCAACTTGTAAAACATCCTTTTACTGTGTATACCAGTCGAAGTTGCCATACCTCATATCAGTACAGCACAGGTGATAATGCATTAAGGTGAAGAATCAAGAAGAAAATAGTCGAAAGTGATAGAAAGAGAGCAAAGATGAATCATATATATTACTGAGATTCAATAAGATGATGTACATAAAGATAATGTATAGGTATATTTCCGTCATTGAGATGGATTCTGGCTCATATCACCCAGACTCTTTAACCACCAAATTTCATTATCATATGAATTCCTGCAGAGAAGTCTATATCTCTTCACATGGTCCAAACTAACATTAAGAGACATCCCTAGATGATACTGTGTTTTATTTTGAACGCGTTTGACATTTGTCTAACCTTCACCTGCCTTAGTTAACATTGGATGCAGGTGGAGGTGGTGACTAGGCATGCCTAACACAAAGGATAATCAACCAAGTTGATGTAGGTCTAAAACCTCGTTGACTGTCTCTTTTCTTTTGCCTAATACTGTGGGCCTGATTTCTGCGTTGCTAACGTAGTGACACTATGACTCATGGTCTACTCTATGAAGCATCTTCTTGCCTCCTACCTTCAGTGGCCATATTTCATAGCTATACAGTTGAACTGAGTGAACTACAGTACAGTTAATCCAATTCTCAATAGTCAATCGAATATCATGAAGATTTCACATACGGCCGATTGTGCCTTTTGTATCGTATAGAGATTTCGTCAGTCACTAATTTATCAAGTCTAATCTGGCTTATGGTCAACACGCTCACACAGTTTACTCCCTATTGTTAAACGGAGACCAGTCGTAGGTGATGATCAGAAACGTATCCCAAATATTTTCAAGTTACAATTTAAGTTATCCAGTAGACTACCTTTCGTCATTGTCTTCACCTACTTTAGATCTTCCAAGGATTTTCCTGTGATAAGACCAACGACTCTAGAGTCCTGTAATTTCTTTTGTGATAACGTTGGGAGATATTATAAAGAGTGGATATTCGTGACACACTGCTTGACGTACACAACTCACCATAGATTCTAACACACCCACGGGTATTTGAGTACAGAACGTTAAGCAAAGTTGTACACTTATTCAAAACTCTTTTTAGTGAGAGACGCATCCATAAGATCTCTCGATGGATGGAGTTGAAAGCCGCCTTTAGGTCAAGAAATTCAACTAGTGTTGATCGTCGGTAAGTGTGCCTGTGTCCCAGAACCAGGTTGAGAGTATATACTTGGTGGCGATACTGTTGACCATGTCCAAAGACTGCCTGGTTTTCTCGGATTTGCTTTTTCCAAGATCTCAAACTTCTAATAAATTTGGTTATCACAAGAGGATTTCTTATCTTTCTTGAAGACTGAGACAATCAGCGATTGAAATCAGTCAGATGGCACTATATTTGACTCCTATATACTAGCTAACAATTCAGTTAACCTAACCAATAATTCGTGACTACCATCCTACTCATCTGTCTGGTTGTACTACTATCTCTCCTTGTTTCAGATTATATACAGCTTTCTCAACTTCTGTAAGTGTTGGAGGTCCTACATTAATGTTCCATTCAGGATGCGACGCGGTAGCAGGAAACCATCCATCGTTCCAATCGTCTTCATGCCTAGTTAGTACTGTAAATGATATTCCCTATTCATTAGTTCTCTATTTTCTCCAACATATGCAAACTTTAAACGACTTACAGTATGATATTGTTAGCATGTAGGACATAAGAAACGATCAATAGCCATTGTAATGCTAAAAGGCTTACTTATTTAGAAGACATAAAGGAGCAGAGTATGGGGAAGGGGGGTAAATAACGTGATAAGTCATAATGTATCGATGAGACGAGATCAAATGCACTGTCATTAGTTTTAAGCTTTGAATATTGAATCTGATATCTGATTATAATGCCAATTTTGGTAAATCCAGTTGGTTTACTGTAACTTACCAATTTTTTACAGTTGTTATATGAAAGAGAGGTGCCTCTTAATCAAAAAAAAAGTAATTATGGTAGTACGCTTACCTTAAGAACAATTTGTCTAGTGTAGTTGTTTAAATAGTGTAATCAGCAATCAGTCTCTCCCTCTCTTCAATCAAATTTGAGATGAATTATGATTATCAGCAAATAACTACGGATTACTCATCCTTACAACAGCTGGGAAACTTTTTGAGGATTACAGAGAAGTTGAAACCTAGTTAGGTCAACAAGAGTTAGTGAGACTATAGCAGAGAAGAACGAGTCTGCGACTCTCTGGTAGGGGAGACGACTGGAACTACGCGTAGAACACTTCGAGGGACAGTTTAACTGGCCTCCAGCCACCATTGCGTTGCCCGCTATCCATTCGGATTCTGAATGGAACATTGAGATAGACCCCGCAACATTTGCAGAAGTCGAGAAAGCTGTAGGTAACTTGAAAAGGGGAAGGGCAGCAGGACCATGCAGACTAACTCTTGAGGTACACAAGGATGTTATTGGTAAGGTGCTCTTAGTCAGGTTAACGGAAGTGTTAGGTAGTATATGGGAATCAAATACGATCCCCTGTGAGTGGTCTAAATCACTGACTATTCCAGTCTTCAAGAAAGGCGAGAAGTCCTGTTGTGATAACCACGGATGAATCAGCCTGACAAACATAGTGTCTGAGATTCTAGTTTGTGTAATTCTTCGACACCTGAGTGGAGCCCAGGAACATAGAGACCGAGAAAACTAGACATGGTTTAGACACAACTGCAGGTGTATTGACGAAATATTCACACTACACCATGTTCTGGAACACAGACACGCTTACAGACGCCGGCCACTAGCTGTATTTCTCGATGTGAAGGTGGTGGCACTTGACTCCGTTGATGGAGAAATCTTATGTGAATGTCTCTGAGTGAAATGCGTGCTGAGTAAGTACATGAGCTTGTTGAAGGGTGTGTACTCGAACACTTGTGTGTGTGTGTTAGAGCCTATGGTGAGATGTCGAAGGAGGTGTACTTACTTGTTGAGTGGTGTTCATCAAGGGTGCCCACTGTCTGTATTCTTATTTAATTTTATGATAGAGATTGTTATGGAGGTTAGTGTCTCTCTCGTGACCTGACTACACAGAGGTTGAGGTAATGGTGGGAGGATTTTCGTTAGACGTAGAATACTGAGATGAGATAGTGAGTCGTGTTAGGTGAAGACGCTGACAAGATGGTGGTGGTGGTTGGGGGTGGGGAGAGTCTTCTGTAGAGTTTGAGTGTGAATTTGTGAATGTTTGTGATGCGTTTTTCACCACGGAAATGTAAATTGTTGGTCTGGGAATGGTGTTCAACAGTGCGTTGACTAACAGTAGTGAGTGTAGTGAGTGGTTGAGTGTGTTGACCAGTTACTTGAGTTATCTGTGAAGTGATGTGTGATCATCGGATACGTGTTTGGTTAGTGTTCGATGAAATGTGTGGAGGAATGCAGGAGGCTGTGTTGGGTTTTGTGAAATTACGCTACGTGTGATGCCACGGTGATATCGGATTGTTGTGTATTAATGGTGGTGTGTACTGCACGTGTGCGTCAGTGCTTTCTGTTCTATTGTATGACTATGAAACATGGTGATTGAAGGTGGGAGATATGAGAAGGGTGTGGCTGTAGATGTTTGATGGATGTTGCGTTGGTAGTAGTAGTAGTATATGTGGTATTGTGTATTGTGGTGTGACCACGTGAGTAACACAGAAGTCAGTTGTAGTTGTAGGTGTAGGATTGGGTGTAGAGTTTTAGATAGAAGGATGCATATCGATTGATGATGTTGTGGGTCGTTTTCGACTGAGATGTTTGGGACGCTTGTTACGTATGTGTAGTCACCGATTGCCTGGTGAGACAATGTTGTCGGAAGTAGGTTGGTGGTGGAAAAATGCTGTTTGCTCTTGATCAGACTAAAACATGGAATGAATGTGTGAATTGTTTGACTGTTGGTTTGAGTCATGTGGGTTAATGCAGACTGTGTGGTTTTGGTCGGTGGGATGAGAGGAGGAACGAGTGGTTGGAAACTGTAGGTGATGGATTATGGCTGAGAATCGATGTGAGTGGCTGAGATTTGTACACACATTATCCTTATCTTAACGCTGTACAGAATCTCACCATTTTCTCATTCTTCCTTTCTCCCTTTTCGTACTTTATATTTGTTTTGACTGAATTTTCTTCATCTTTTTCTTCGCTGCCTTTTTATTTGATGTGTTGATATGAAGTGTATCCAAGTTAGACTGTTACACAATAATGTCTGTTCTTATGTTGATTTGGAGGTATGAATGGAAACCTAGTTAGTAGTCTGTTGTCATTGCTCAATCGATTGAGTAGTTCGTGGGCCATGGATTAGATTCCACTCGCTATCCGGTTCTTCACTTCATCTTCAGTCAATGTAGTTTTTATATTATAGTCATATGTTACAAATTCTTCAGCTTACCTTATACTACTCTTATAAAGTTTTCGTCTAGTAAGTTAGATTATTATACTCTTCGATATTTATCTTGGTTAACCTATTCTACTTTATAATGTAGGATCTTAGTGAAGATTCTAACATGAGTCAAGAGGAGAATTGGATGCGCTTGATAACTCAATACAATTTAACTGAATTATCGGATGTAAGTTACTTTTGTTGTTATTCTATCTTATGTGGTTTTTTACAATCAGTCGAAAAAGCTGGATTTTAAAAACCCTGTTGCCTTCTATGCACATGTCTCTAGGAATCTAGAGAAATGTCTTTTAGTAGAAGAAATTTGATTCATAGCTCATCAACACTGATTAGTGTTACTAAAAACAGACGGGGTCTCCGTGGGGTCGGGTGGGTGGGTGGTAAGAGAGATTATCCCACCAATATTGCAGTTATGCCTAGTTGTGCGATTTCGACAAGTTAGAAATCGAAGTACGTAACCTCTTATCATTTCCTTTCAACTATTCAATAGTTTACCTTGTATTTTAAATTGCTTGTGTGTATGATAACCGAGTTGAGGATGACTTCATCAATGTGATGGTATCAGTTTCTGCTTATTGTTAATTTTTAGGACATCAGAAGTATTCAGTCACTCTATCTTTTCTCCTACTTTAACGATACTTATTGTTTAGATATCCAGAAGACATGTATGAAAGACTCCTTAATAAGTACCATACTCTTTTTTATGATCTGAAATGTGAGAACCGATTTCAGCAGTGGTATCGCTGCGACATTTGGTTGTCCATTAGATAGGTGTCTTGAGGCATCTTGGTAGCAATACTGATGAGTAACTCAAGAGTGACAGTTGTCACTTGCCTTATCGACTTATGGTAATACTAGTTAGCTTTCTAACGGATCGGGTTATCAGTCACCATATTTTTATGAATAATTAGACTATCATAGTGATAAACACACTGGTGACTTGAAATCAATCTACTGATCTCCGATTTTCCGTTGAGATTCAGTGACTACTTATATATGTACATTTAAGTAGAATGTTGACTTTTCGCCTTATTATGTAAGGAAGTTAGGAAAACAGTTTTTCACATAATTGGGTTTACTGATTCAGTTCAGTGCTTTAAAGATCCTCAATAGATATTGAAAATGAAGTGTATTTGCTTTCTCCTCGGGGTATACAGTTATCAGTTCAACTGTTCCTTGGATGTCGTTAAATAGGTTTCATTAAGACAGCTCAGTCACTACGTGCCTGTGAACATGGACCAACTCCACTTGAAAAAAGAAAGGTGTAACCCAATAATAATTTTAATTTACTTCAGGATTCATTTGGAGGGGGGGGGGGGTTGTTAGTGCATAATCTGATGAGAAAGTTGAATAGTCGATAAACTAATCAGCTGTAAGAAATGTTTACATGGACTGTGCAGTTTGAAAGTGATTTACAAATGTATCATTACAACTTATCATGTAGCTATATATACGAGTCAGCTAGCCAGGTTCAGTAAATCTGAGCACTCAAATTCTATAAGCTAAATTCCCTGCTGAACACTGTCTTCAGATCAGTGAAACCGCCAGCAGGTGTGTAGGTCGCTTTGCTTTAACTAGCTAGATTTTCAGATCAAACCCAAAACAATGCAAAGCAGCACTATTGACGGTTTTTCACCAGAAGTTTGTAAGGAACGAGGTAGTAAATTACTGAGTAACAGAGGTACTAGGTAGCATATTGGAATCGCACATAGATTATTGATCATCTCAGTCTGTAAGAAGGGAGAGAAGTCTTCTCGTAACAACTATGAGGGAGTTAGTTTGACTAATATCGTACCGAAAATCATGGGGTCCATAGGTAAAGCTCAAGAACAACAAAACCAAAATATTTGGCAGTTCCAGACCTGGAAGATGGTACGTCGATAAAATAATCACCCTTCGACAGCTTTAGGAACACAGATATATGCTGACTGGCTATCGACATTTGCTATATATCTTGACCTGAAGGCGGCATTCATCTTGATCGACCGAAAGATGTTGTAGTACTATCTGACAGTGAAGGGAGTGCCGAGCAATTATATAACGCTTATCTCAGCTGTTTACTCGAACTCACACAGCCATGTCAGGACTTATGAGTAGTTATCATCTGTAGTGATGCCAACCAGTGGTGTTTGCTAGAGATGCTTGTTGTCGCCGTTCCTGTTTACCTCCACAATAGAAGTGATAATGGACATAACTTTACGTACGTCTGATTTCACTGGGATTGAACTACTCTCTAGAGGTCATCTGATTGACTTGGAATACACAGACAAAGACGAGATTGTCCTGTTAGGTGAAGACATTGAGAAAATGCAGCGTCTTGTAAACACCTTTGGCAAGAGTCTCTGTATGTTTTGCATGCGGTTTGCACCCGTCAAATACAAGATGATGCTTTACCACTGGTCTGCAACTATTCCAAGTTTAGTGATTGAGAGGGAAGTCATAGGATGATGGGTCTGCCACTTGTCTTACTTGGGGATTTGTATCACTGTGAACTGACTGGCCACTAGCAAAATCTTAACTCGGATACCAGATCCGCGTTCGGTACTTTCTAACTTTCATCACCTATGGCGTCCACTAGAGAGATATAGTGCACTGCTGTATTCCACTCTATCCTGTTATACAGCTATGAAGAATGGCCGTTAAAAGTAGAAGACATGAAGCGGTTACAGGTTTTTGATCCCATTTATCTTCGTAACATTGCTTTCGTATGATGAATGTTGATGTTAGGCGAAGGGTTTTAGACAAGAAAAGTGAGTCATTCGATAAGATTGCAAAACCTTTTTATCCCAACTCCATCATCACTTACCTTGACATGCAATGTTAGCCAACTGTAGAATAAGTTTGGAAAAAAAGGCTAAGAATAATCAAATGAAAACATGAGACCAGTTCATGAAGTCTCTAACTGTTTGTTTCACCTGATGTAAGGAGGTATAGACTACGTTGTTGCGCTCTTCAAGGTGAAAAGGAATTGATAATCGTAGATTTTGTAACATGATTGAAAATCGATCGCAATACTATATATATATATATATATATATATATATATATATATATATATTCATCTGATAGCTTGGATATTTCAACCTACTTTGATGTTTTAAATACATTCTCCTCCTATACACTTTTCTTTACTTCAATTCGACTTTTTCTAATTATTATCTATCTGTTTTTTACATACGATTATTAAGTGTTATCACATGGACCGATACATTTCTTTGTGACGTTCCGTGTTGAGTTTTTGTCTCATGTTGTTCAGTAGTACAGAAATGAAATAGGAGTTATTAAAATGGATCAATTGCTCACATTTATCGTATTTCAGTTCACTCTAATATTTAGCTGTTGATAGTTTATCTTTAATACCAGTGGATCGAATTATTATTATTATTATTATCTACTTAACGATGTCCTTCTACCACCATTTACACATTGTTTAGATATTCAACTTCGCCACTGGGGGTTTAAGTCGATCCAAGTAAGTTACTTGTTTGTATTGATTTACTTACTTTCTTACTTACCGTAGCTTTTCAGTGTCTGACAGATGACCAAACAAACCAGGAACTGTAATCATCGATTCATTCATCTTTTATACAGTCTTAGAGTTATAAGATTTAACATATGGTAAATATGTTGGAGACCAATAAATAACCTAAGAGCACTAGGCACCTGTTTCGTTCTAGTTTGATACTGCTGATCGATATACATTTGCTATTCTGCAAAGGACTGAACTGATATTTGTCAGGTTTCACAGAGAGCGAATCACCTCTGCGTTACATTCTAATACTTCATTATTTTTTTCTTCTATCAATCTATGATAGCACTGATGACAATGGATTATAGTCGAACTATATGTCGAATTGTAGACCCTATCGAATTCCAATCCATTGAGTTTAATGATCACTTATTGACTGTGATACTTCATGGTCTTCTGTTCGATTGTTGACTGAGTCAGTAGTCTTAGAGTAAGTTGAAACAACTGTATAATGGTCCCATATTGTAAATGTGATGCATAAGTTGATGTCAACCTGAGATAGAAAGTACCATCTTGAAATTAATAAATCACTACAAACCACCAACAGAATATTATACAAACACCTTTATTACCAATTGGTTCACATGTCTGTTGTATAAATATATAGCCAAAAAAGATATGAACCAATTTATGAGAAGAAAAGAAAAAGACGAATCGAAGTAACCAATTCCCAGTAATTTTTTTCTGTCTCAGGAAGAAGGAAGAGATGTTTATTATTGACATCTTGTACAGTAGTCATCAAATATTGTGCACCTTGTACTAAGACGTTCATTTGCATGATATGGTTCATTTCCTGTTCTGCTTCTCTCTTGATTTGCTCTTAATACGCCAACATTGTGTCTTACGTGTATCTTGGCAGAATCATTGTCCATTACTGGTACTTGACTATGACTTCAGACGTCCTCTCAACATATACTACTTATATCGATCTATTCTGACCAGTAACACCCACTACACTGGGAGCAATTGGTAGGTGCTTCATCCTAGTAGGGGACTTTTTATTCAGTACACGTACCTACGACCAGGCTAGGGATCGAACTCAGGACGTCAGGTTTCATAGCGAACACGTTAACCATTCAGCCTTTGGGTTGGAGTTCAATACTTCACAGTTTTCAACTTCTATCAGTTTGCGGTATAACACGACTATCACACAAGTTCTTCAGTTGACATCTATCTTCCTTCCGATTGGTTGACTACACAGGTCATGGCTTCTCATCAAAACTTCGTGATATCCATCTGGAAGCATATCACTAATGGCCTCTATACAGTAATGTATTTTGAGATGAAATGGGATTTGAATTTTAAGATGGTATTCATGACTGACTGCTATTGATCCCTAACGTAGTCATGGGTGTATACTGGCGAGGATTCCCATACTAGCACGAAACAAATTACCATTGCTCTCAGCTTTTCAATGGTTTCTACCTTGATGATATCAGTTCATGATGAATACTACCTCAAGATGAAAAAATTACTGTTAGATGCAAGAGCAAAGTTGTGTAAAAAGATCCCAGGAAATGGAATATTCAGTTTCGAAGATTTATCAGTAATGGATTAATTTTATTCACATGTTTCCATCTTAAAAATTCATATAAGATCTAATGACTCTGTCGCAAAATGCTTCTCATCAGACTTCATTCCCATATGATTTCATGACTGTACACACTACTAAAGGAGTCCTTGACTAGTATACATGATCAAGCAGTCACAATTGAAATAATATGGCCTGAGAAGAGAAAAATAAACATGAAATCATGAAACGAGAATATGTATTACACTACCAAATTCCGAATGTATATTTCTCGTGAAACAAGAACAATATAAAAATTACCTAGTGTGAGGAAGAAAATGACTATCAAATTCCATTCCTTGATATACTCCTGTGTCGGAGACACAAGATATGGATCTATCAGACGATCAATCTATAGAAAGCCTACTTCGACACGACACTACTTGAGTACTTTCTAATGAAATATAAGACACACTGAGTAAGATGCAATTTATTTATACACTTGATACAATGGATAATGAGAGGAAATTTCTGACAGACATACTCACGGAAAATGAATATTCATTACAGCTTGTAAATCGTTGAAGAAAATAGTTAACTCCAAAGCCTATAATCTACTTGACCACGAAGATGGATATACTTCTTAAAGTATCACACAGAGGAGGTAACCAGTGGTATTGTAGTGGGCTCTCGTGATCAGAATGGATGGATATAAGTAGTATATGTTGAGAGGGTGGCAGAGGTGGCCAGACTAAAACATGGCACCAATGTATGAAGTCTCTGACTGTTGGTTTAAGCCATGTAGGACGATGCAGACTAGGTGGTTGGGGTCCATGGGACAAGAGGAACCAGTGGTTGGAGACCCTAGGTGATATGGCTCAGAACCGATGTCAGTGGTGCAGATGTATACACACATTATCCTCATCTTAACAACGCTATACCGAATCTCACCATTTTTTCACTCCTCTTTCCTTTCTTCTCGTACCTTATATTTCTTTCGACTGCATTCACTTATCTTCATCCTTCACCTCACTACCTTTCTACTTGATGAACTGACGTGAGGTGTGGCAACTCGGACCGTTACGCAGTAATGCCTGGTCCTATGTTGATAATGATGATGATGGGTGGCAGAAATCATAGGGGATTACCAGAAATCGGTAGAGATTTTGCCCAGAGAAACACAAGAAGCAATGTTGGCGTATTAAGAGCAAGTGGAGATAGGAGCAGGAAAGGAAGGAAATGAAGCATATTGTGCAAATGACTGTCTTAATTGAAAGTGTACTATATTCGATTACCACTATACAAGATGTTAATAGTAAACATTCCTTCCTTTCTTCCTCTCTATCTTGTCGTTTCCTACAGTATGATATTGGAACAGAGATTAAAATCTGTTATCAGTAAAATATACTATGCAGCCCAGCTTATCATTGTTTAGACAACAAAACCCACAAACTTCAACCTCGTATAAATGATTATGTCACATCCCACTGTGTTTACCCATTCACATGTACGGATTTCAAGAAGAAGTGTTATAAACAAAGCCGCCTTTTGTATAGTTGCTTCTAACAGATGCGCTTTTGAATGTCCGCATGTTTGGAACAATTTTTCCCTTTGATAAATTTCGATAACGCTATTAGAATGTATGGTGTATTTGCTTAATACATTCGAAACAATCTGACTGATCACACATTTTACTTGTCAAGTCAATTTATATACAAAAGTGAAAAACGAAATTAAAGGGGTCAGTTATAATGAATATGAAAAGGTTGTGACATTAGTCTGAGTATTATATATTCACATAAGGACTACAAAGGTGAATTAAGTCTAGTCTGCCAAACTACGGCTACCTTGGATAGCTAAATGATAGTCAATATAATGCTACCCCCACTTCTAATTCAGTTAGATTTGCACTGAGATAAGAAGTCCTGACTAGACAGCCAGTAAGTGAGTACGATCAAGCAATAGTAACGTGTTACGAATTCACATGGTAGTCAGGCGAAATCCCACTTGTGATTGAAGTGAAATAACAATCTAGTGAGCAGTTGGACGTCGCATCTCAGTTGGTAGAACACCGGGCCGGTAACTCGGTGGTCGCTGGTTTGAATCCAGCCGCGGTCCAAATTTTCATCTTACCTTCAATCATCATGCAGTACAAACATACTAGTTTGCTAAACTACGGCTACCTCAGATAGTCAGATGATAAATTGAGACAAATTGTTTTTGTACACACAATGGGGGGCTTAAGTTTACGAATAGCTAACGCTCCGGAAAATTTCAGTATGCACCCCTGACTGTTCCAGTATTATATCTTAAATGTTCCCCATTTTAGTCTGTTTATTGGAAATGTCACAGTGAAGCGACAGTATCATTTACTGGATAACGTTTCGAACACAATTTTTTCTTTAAATTCATATCAGGTAACTCTACAACTTTGAGACAGAGTGTATATAGTCCTGAGGAACGCGAGCCTCAGTTAGCAATTAGGTGCAGCGTTTCGCTCTGTGGACAGTATGTCGCTTCCTTTCAGAGAAACAGGAATACGGTCGTTCACTGTCTCATATTTCTAATAAATAGACTAAAACAGGATTACAACCTACCACAATGCCTAAATGAATCTAAAATACTGTTTTTATACTAATCTCATGATTCATTTCGATGATATGCTTGCTATGGATGAAGATGAAAGTATGTCACTTGCACTTAACAAAGTTTGTGTGTTTAACTGTTTTTCAAGACATTTGGGTATATGTTCACCAACCGTACTCTGCAAAGCACGATTACTTCTCCTTTTACATGTGTGCCTAAACATACACGTAGATGGGTAAACACAGTGGGATGTGACATAATCATTTATACGAGGTTGAAGTTTGTGGGTTTTGTTGTCTAAACAATGATAAGCTGGGCTGCATAGTATATTTTACTGATAACAGATTTTAATCTCTGTTCCAATATCATACTGTAGGAAACGACAAGATAGAGAGGAAGAAAGGAAGGAATGTTTACTATTAACATCTTGTATAGTGGTAATCGAATATAGTACACTTTCAATTAAGACAGTCATTTGCACAATATGCTTCATTTCCTTCCTTTCCTGCTCCTATCTCCACTTGCTCTTAATACGCCAACATTGCTTCTTGTGTTTCTCTGGGCAAAATCTCTACCGATTTCTGGTAATCCCCTATGATTTCTGCCACCCATCATCATCATTATCAACATAGGACCAGGCATTACTGCGTAACGGTCCGAGTTGCCACACCTCACGTCAGTTCATCAAGTAGAAAGGTAGTGAGGTGAAGGATGAAGATAAGTGAATGCAGTCGAAAGAAATATAAGGTACGAGAAGAAAGGAAAGAGGAGTGAAAAAATGGTGAGATTCGGTATAGCGTTGTTAAGATGAGGATAATGTGTGTATACATCTGCACCACTGACATCGGTTCTCAGCCATATCACCTAGGGTCTCCAACCACTGGTTCCTCTTGTCCCATGGACCCCAACCACCTAGTCTGCATCGTCCTACATGGCTTAAACCAACAGTCAGAGACTTCATACATTGGTGCCATGTTTTAGTCTGGCCACCTCTGCCACCCTCTCAACATATACTACTTATATCCATCCATTCTGATCACGAGAGCCCACTACAATACCACTGGTTACCTCCTCTGTGTGATACTTTAAGAAGTATATCCATCTTCGTGGTCAAGTAGATTATAGGCTTTGGAGTTAACTATTTTCTTCAACGATTTATAAACTGTAATGAATATTCATTTTCCGTGAGTATATCTGTCAGAAATTTCCTCTCATTATCCATTGTATCAAGTGTATAAATAAATTGCATCTTACTCAGTGTGTCTTATATTTCATTAGAAAGTACTCAAGTAGTGTCGTGTCGAAGTAGGCTTTCTATAGATTGATCGTCTGATAGATCCATATCTTGTGTCTCCGACACAGGAGTATATCAAGGAATGGAATTTGATAGTCATTTTTTTCACTCACATTTTAAGCTGATATTCATCATGTTTGACGTATAGTTTTTCCTTTCATTTTCATATATAAATTTGCCTGAGACAAGTTTATATGTGTTTATTCTGATTACTTGAAATGTATTGAGTAAATACATTAAACAGTTTGGTGAGATTATCTTTTTCCATGTTGTTAAATTTCGCTAGGTGTTATTCTGCCAACTTTTAACCATCGTAATATATATAGTAGAATTCGATTAAAAGTTTAGTTCAAGAACCCATGTGTTGACTTCATAAGCACTGTACTATGCTCTGCTCTGTTATTGCCTATTCATTCTTGACTATTTAGATTTCAGTTAACGCTTGAACATCCTAACTTCATAGACTGTAATTGGAAAAATCTATTCCAATATACAAGCTGTGTACTAAGGTGTTTTTCTCAATTGTTACGGGAAATCTGACCACAAAGTATAGAGACATGTTCACTTCATTTTAATGTCATACAGTTATTACCAGTTTTTCAAACAATTGGAATACACTCATTTAATCATAGAGAAAGACAAAAAGACAGTTGCAGCAAAGTTTCTTTTCGATGAGGTTATTTAACTTCCCTTTTGTTATTCTCTGTATTTTTTGACCGTTGATCGGATATAATTCCGGAATATTCTATCCATCATAACATATATTTTATAAGTGTACAGTTTAGTTAATGAATTTGAGGGAACAAAAATGTTCCGTTTTGCTGCAACCATCTTTTTTATCTTTTTCTATGGTCATATGGATGGGTGTATTCCTTCACTAAGAACATTTTTCTTTCTTTTTCGAAGAAGGTAAGCAAGTGATTATTATTATTCGTTGTTGTTGTACACATCTCACTAAGCTAGTCGATAACACTTTGACGTTTGAAATGGTAGGTGTGTGGGTTTCGAGTCTCAGTAGGCATATCATTACTCATATGAGTAGAGGTAATTCTAGCTTACGAGTCTCAAACGGGATGAAACATATCCTGGATTGGACTACTAGTCATTTTCAAGTAAATTATGAACAAATTATCATTTTCATCCTATTTGTTTGAAAACTTTACCATACTTTGTAAGTCATTTGATGAGAGTTAATTGTGTGAGTGAAATACAATTGTAATAGTGTTGTAACTTTTCGAATCATCTTTTTAACATTGATTAGAGGTCCATGGTTCTGAACCTTGATGGATCTTTTCTCATGAATTGATATCATTTGGAGGAGCATTTGAATCTTGAGAGCACTGGACGGCTGTTTCTTCGTAGTATGGGACTCTTCAGCAGTGCGCACCCATGACCCCGCCAGGAGTCGAATCCGTGACCTCCAGGTTCCGTGGCCAGCACGTTACCATTGAACCACTCGGTCGGAATCTAATAGTCCATATTCTCTACTTCTGTCAGTTCACGACATAGCGCTACCCACTACTACCCAATGTCACCGTTGAGTATTTGTCCTGACGGCCACCAGGTTTGTCCCACTGGTTGTGGCTTCTTATTGGGACTTTGAGAATCACCTCTCTAAGCTTGTCACCAATGAGCACTAGTTCAATCGAATTCGGGGATTTATGAGGATTTAGAGATTTTTCGAGTTGGTAATCTCTAAATCTCCATAAACCCCTAAATTCACTTGACGAATCTGTTGGAGTTTCAACAGTCAGTTAATATCATAGTTTTCACGGTGTGACTGTGTAAATCTCATTCTAGTAACCTGTTCCTGGTTTTTGACTTGTTGTAATGATCTTATTCTGAAACAATTTTTGAAGAATGAAAATAAAATTTCTTTTTAATAGTATACCAATATTGTATATCTCTTTATACTGAGGGGTTTTAAATAATTTTGATGTTGAAATAACTCGATTCTATTCATCTCAGCTTGACATCTTCTAAAGCTAGAATACTTCCATTAATCATTCTTTTCTGAAGTGGATTGGGCATACACTGAGAAGGCCGACTGCGACCATCACATGTCAGGCCCTCGAGTGGAACCCCGATGGGAAGCGACGAGTTGGGCATCCGAAGTGAGGGTGACATGGAAGGGATCGTGCGAGGAAGAAATGAGAGCTTGTGGGCTGTTGTGGAGCCAGGTTCAAAAGATTTCAGAGAAGAGAGTGCACTGGAGACGTACTACTGAAGCCCTATGTTCCATTAGGAACCCAAGGGACGAGTAATAAAAATAATAATCATTCTTTTCTGATTATTTATTCCTTCATACATCTTTATCTGCCTTGATATCACTCTCTGTCCACCAACTTTTATTATAGTATAATCTAATAACATGTTAGTGCATACATTTTGTCTGTTTCGAGGTCAATTGTATAAATTAAGCTTGATAACCTGTAGTAAGAGCTGAGTTGTTTAGATCATATATTGGAGAAACGTGATGAATTGTTTGTCTAAGAAAACATTACATACTCAGTTAAAAGTAAAAAAAAAACATCCAAGTGTTTCCTGTGGGTATGGTAACAGTTGTCAACCTTAAAACTATTTGAGATTCATATAAAGTATATGATGGTATTATACACTGTACATAATCATATCCATTTTTACTATACATCGGTGTAAACACTTTATTTCCGACTGTCTGGTTACTGGTTCGAGCCCGGTTTGAGCAGTCAGGTAGTGTAATTAACCGTTATACAATAAGTGTGTCTCAGGGCCGTACGTAATATCTCCGAGTGTATTTTCACTTTAATTATTCACAATGAAAGAATGACTTCAAGTTAGACAGCAACGAAGTATAATTTCATACTAATTTACAACTCAAAAAGTGTATACGTATGAACTTATATGAGTTTTTATTGTTATATCTCTCTTGGGTTCCTAGTGGAACATAGGGCTTCAGTAGTACGTCTCGAGTCCACTCTCCTCTCTGCAATCTTTTGAACCTGTCGCCACGACTGCCCACAAGCTCTCATTTCTTCCTCGCACGATCCCCTCCATGTCACTCTCACCTCGGACGCCCAACTCGTCGTTTCCCATGTGCGTTCCACTCGAGGGACTGGCCTGGCGCGTGATGTCCCTAGTCGGCCTTCTCAGTGTATACCCAATCCATCTACACTTCCTTCCAGTGCATATTTGTTGAGCGATAGGTTGTTGGTTGGTCCGTTGGCCGGTGAGAATTCCTTGTTGCTTATATTGTTTCTGGCCATGTGATCTTCAGTGTCAGTATCGAGTGAGCATAGGCAGTTGTTGATGAATATCTGTAGTTTGTCGGAAATCCCTTTCGTAATGCCCAAGTCTCTCAACCATTACATAGAAGCACTGACTTGACTGACGTTGGTGTTGAAAATCTGGATGTTGTTCACGCTTTATACTGAGTGCAGAAGATCTCTACACTGGTCTCAGGTTAATGAAGGATGGCCTGTCTTGCTGTCTTACGGATCGTGGCTGGCTTTGACGTGCTCGTCTGTGCCTGTTGCGCCTGTAGTTGAAACAATGCTGCCTAAGTAGGAGAAAGAGTCTACTTCCTTTAAGTTTCTCTCGTTGATGGTGATTGGAGCTTGTTGTTGGTGGTATTGGTTGAGTATCTTCATCACCTCTGTCTTCACTACGTTCACTTGAAGTCCCTTCTTGGCCGCCCTGCCTCTTCTGTCAACTTGTTGGTTTTTGCCTGTAGATTTTCGAGTTTGTGTGACACTAGGCACAAGTTACCGGTGAAATCTAAATCTTCTAGGATCTTTTCCGCTGTCCAGCTAGCGTATCCCTCTCTTCTCACTCCTCACTGTTTGTTGCATGATCCAGTCGATCACAATCAGGAAGATCATAGGTGATAGTAGACAGCCTTCTATTACTCTATCCTATTTTCACTTTAAAGGCATCATTGAGCTTCCCATTGTGAATTACTTGGCATCTGGCGTCTTCATGTAGCTGTTGAATGGGGTTGATAAAGATTTATGGCACTAAAACCGTAGTGTTGAAGCAGTTGCCAAATTACTTACTTATATGATATTTACTTCAAGCAAATCACAATTCTATCATTTGTTTAATTCACAATGTAGCACAACTGTTTATCCAATGAATACAAAGGGGATTGAGATAAACTACTAATTGTGATATCTATGATTGATGGGAAGTGTTATTTCTAAGTTCTGTTATTCTCCTTTTCCATAAACCATTTAAACGAATCCATATGGTGAATAATTGAATTTCTAAGTACTTTTAGCTATTGTTTATTTATACTTCATTTGTATGTATCACTTCGAATGACGTTTACACTCGCTATTCTTATGTTTCAATTCGATAAGAGCACCTTTCGTACTGGCACCGATTTCATCATCTAATTTAATGCAAAATAAATTATGCGATATGAATGGTAGAACGATATTACAGTCTACAGATGTTGATGATGATGATGATGACCATGATAATGATGATACTGATGACCGACAACAACAACAACAACAACCAAAGCCAGAACAATCTTCATTCTCATTACTTTCATTTCAAGCATCTTCAAGAATTGACAGCAATACTGTTAGTGATAGAATTTCCTACAATTTATCTGATTTATGGTTTGATCCAGATAATGAATCTGAAGATAATCAAGAACAGAATATGCATGAGATCACTTCTAAACCCTTTAAACAGATAAAGGATAAACAGAAGGAGCAAAGAGATGTGAACGATTACGATAATGATGTTGATGATGATGACGATGAAGACGATGAAACTGCTTCCAAATTGAATCATCATGGTAGCAGTAGTAGTAATCCAATTAGCGATGATGAAGATAATGATGTGATGGGGACGAAAGCGACTAGAGAAGACAAAGATGGTGGTGGTGATGAGGAAGAGCAGGTTGCTGCTGCTGCTGATGATGATGATAACGACGACGACGATGATGACGATGATGAAGAGGATTTACAGTCACCTATACAAATTAAGCAACAGCATTCCAGTAAACAAACAAACAATTGTTCACCATGTATCTTAATCAATAGTATGAAGGAAGATGAATTTGATGAGTGTAAGTTCTTAGCTATGATTTGTCTTTTGTTCCTTGTGATTTATTCATCCTCATTCATTTAATTGCTGTGACTGATTGGTTCAGCCAGTTGACTTCCAACCAATTTGTTGGAACCTCTATCCGTCTACCAACCTACCGAAGTTTTCTACTAACACTTATTACCATCAGTCTCAACACCGTAGTTATGGTTTATTATCTTACTCAGAAAACTGCATCTTGTTTTTCAGTTATACCACTTCTACTACTGCTTTGAAGATGGGGAATACTTTTTGGTAATTGTCGCAGGGCGTAGGGGAGTTTAACGACTCCTCTTTTCTTTTGCTAGATAAGTTAAATAGGTTAGATCCAAATGACTGTGAAGTGTACCAGCATTTTTTTTAACCTATCTTCCATGTTAAGTGGATAGCTGGTGATAAATAATGATTGCTGCGAACATTCAACTGTTACAGATTGTTGTCGGATAACTATCAGTCTAAGTGCTGCTTTGCAATGATAGTGAAATATATAATGTGATTAGGCATTGGAAACTTAATGAATACTTGTGTGTAAGCCGTTTAAAGTTCTATTTGGTTGCGTAAGAAAGTTTTTTTTCCATCTTTGAATTTATTCTGAACAGTGGTCTGCTAATTACTTTGGAGAAACTTCAATTGGTCTTAATGAGTCATGCAGAGTAAGATTTCTGAACTAGGGGACCTACATTTGAAGGATTTCTGACCTACAGGTACAATTAACATAATCCCTAACTGGTAGCCACTTGGCGATTGAAGCAGTCGGATCCTCGTAGCTCAGTTGGTAGAGCATCGGGCTGGAAACCCAGTGGTCGCTGGTTCGAATCCAGTCACAGTTCGAATTTTCATTTCACCTTCAATCACCACCCATTATCAAGCTACTTGATATAGTGGTTGAGCTGGGATATCACAATGACCTAATAAGCTATAGTGGTGGGACACTTATCCCTTCTAGGTCCTACCATACCAGACGGGTCTTTTGGATAGTGATAAACCCAAGACCAGTTACTGTCGTGATCAAAATCACTTCACTATGATACGGATCCAGGGGCGAATTTTTACTACTGGCTAGATGGGGAAGAAGCGACAGCAGCAAGGTGTTTCACGCGAATCACCAGAATCACTATGTTGATGATGCCTTCCCTATGATAAAGGAGAAGTTAGAAAAGGTCAACCCTAGAATTATCACAGCAGCCTGTACCCTTTCTATTTTTCACTGACGGTGGTATAGGTTTACTAGCTGAATTCAAACCAATCAAGGCTAAACCTGTAATTGACTTCAAACAGATAAACTACAGTCTCTGCCTTCGGAAGTCATCATTACCAATCCTTTTTTTCAGATACCTCTCTCTCTCTCGAAGAACTAATTTTCTACGGTGTAGACTGCTGGAAAGCGTTAACCGCCCTCACAACTCTACGAGGACTCAAGCTACTGCGGATTATTATAAACCTTGATGACCTTTGCTTTCTAATCTTTCCTCATGTCTCTCAGTCAATATTCCTACGTTACATTAAGATCACAGTTTAGTGTGGCCTGTATACCGTTCGATTGAGTGGTGCAATGAGGACTAAATCGGGTAGTGAAACACACTATTGTCCATTTGTAACCTTTGGTGTATGCATCTACTGACTGCAGTTTGTATGCAGTGAAGAATGAGTTTTATCAAAAGCTATCTAGCTTCCTACTAAACACGAAACGTTCAAATGTGGTTGTCGTAGCAGGATGGGTCTTTGTGCCATCTCTAGTCTGTGAATAATAGCATTGAAGACCTTGGCTATACCTCAGAAAAATGTTGGAATTAACTGATGCACATAAATGCATTTCTGCAGTCTTTGGGCACATTGGAGAGTGGAAACAACTCAAATGCAGAATGTCAAAGAGTTTATACAATAGGGAGGGTTTAAAAGATGGGAAGACAGTTTAGAAAGATAACTATGGATAGTTATTTAGACTGATGAGGAAAAATAGGGCAAAATGTCAATGATTAGTTGGACTATAGGGGAGAACCATAGGTCTACGATTTACTTTCAAGGGAGACGACTGATGGGTGGCACGCCTCAACTGGTTTTTGCTACTATTGTGTTTCCTGTTATTCGAACACATGCTGATTAGGACATTGGAATAGGGTATCCAGCTCTTGGCTAAGTTCAGTTGTCTATAAATAATATGATACGAGAAAGAGCAACAAGCTTCGATAATCTAGTACCGAAGATATTCAAGGACTCTGATCGAGGATTATTGATTAGGTCAACTCAACTATTGTTTAGCTTATAGGAATCAGATATGATTCCCCTCTTGGTTGTATTGTGTTCTCTAAGCTGGGTTGTATAGTCGTGGAGCTTTCAACGTTTTGATAGACGACTAAACAACCCAGCTCAGAGAACACAATACAACCATTTCAAAATTATATGAACGTAACACGCTTCACGCTGTTTGAAGATAGGAGGACTTTTCCGAGAGGTAAGCTTCCATAAAAGAGCAAATATTCTTTCTCCATGGGTGCTTACGTCAGCATATTCTGCTGAAGAGTGTCAGATATAGACCACGAATTGACTGCCCAATGGGATGGAAAATAGCTGAACAAAGTTGAAGACAAATGGTACAATTGATGATTACAGATGATTCCCCTCTAACTGGTCTCAGTCAGTGATCGTCTTAGTTTGTGATATTGACGACCAACCCTTTTGCAATAACTGCAAGGAAAATAGTCTGACAAACATAGTGTCTAAGGCTCTAGATGTTGTAATCATTAAGCCGTTAAGTGGTGCTGGGGAATAGTAAGTCTGAGAAAACTAGGCAGGTGTCAGAGTTTGTTTTAGGTATATCAATCAGATATTTCACCTTTTGGTCGAGACTGGCTGTATTTCTATACCTGAAGGTGTCATTCAACCCCACCAATAGAGATGTCAAATGACTGTCTCTCACTAAAAAGGGTACCGAGTGAATGCGTTAGTTTGCTGAGGGCTCTATAGTTAAATACTGATAGGCAGGTTCTAACTTATCATTAGGAAGTAAGTGAGTGGTGTCTTTCAAGGGTTTGCGATCTCTTCATTTTTATCTAATTTTCTCATCTACTGGCTTATGGAGGTTTCCTTCTCATTGCTTAACTTTACAGGGATTGATGCCATCACAGGAAACCTATTATTAGATCAAAAACACAGAGGTGACATAGCCCTGTTAGGTGAAGACATTGATGAGATACAGAGTCTTCCGAAAATCTTTTTGACAATTTGAAAATGTTTGACATGCGTTTATCACCACTGAAATGTGAGTTGTTACCCCATGACTGGTTCTACGTCGGTGTCTTGAAGTGGTTGAATGGTTGACCACTTCATTCACTTGTGAAATCGGATCAGCTCTGGTGAGTCAGTGGATGAAGAAATCTCGCCATGAGTACAAAACGTTCGACTGAGTTTCACCACGTCGCTCAACATATAGCGCATCTGTGATATTCAATTGTCTATCAAGTGTGAAGTGTACTGTGCTCAAATTCTCTCTGTTTTACTGTATACTGTTCACTATGAATTCACCATTTTAGTAGCGTAGAAGTCAGGGATAGAGTTTTAGTGGGAAGAAGGAAGTCAGTTGATGAGATTTTGAACCGTCGCTTAGGTCAGTGGTACATACGTTATGTAGTCTTAGTTACCATTCATACACAGTGTTAGATTTGTTTATTGGATACATAGCACATAGTGACACAGTATTACTTCATGACGTTTCGAGCAAATCTCATTCTTCAAACATCATGGGTGAAGGTAATAAAAGAATAATGCATAAAGAATAACGAGAATTTAACCAATAATCGTATAATACTGTAAATAAAGACAAAAGGCGGAGAAAACAATCGTTTCTCAGCCAAATCTCCTAGATTAGTCTCCATTCATGAGGTTTCATTGTCTCTTTAACTTCAGTTAGGAAGCCTATCTTTCTATATCACAGTCCAAATTGATAGGCAGACATTATCTTATTATTGTTGGTGTGTGCTTAATCGAGTAGACTAATCGAAACATAGAATGATACTGAAATAATGGAGAATATTTGTAGCTCAGGTGGGGATGGTCTTGGTTGTATTGTGTTCTCTCAGCTGGGTTGTTTAATCGTGAAGCTTTCATCGTCTAGATAGACGATTAAACAACCCAGTTCATAGAATGATACTGAACCACCAATTACTTTAATGATAACCAGAGACTTCATCGAATTATTATCAGGTTTTTAGTGCTGATGATCTTTAGCTTTTGTCCACCCTCTCCCACACGCCTTCCCATCCTTCTTGATCACCCAACTTAACCCTACTTCAACTCAGTACTTATAACATTTGATTGGATTGTGTATTATAGTTGGGGAGTTTCAGAAATGTTTGCTATAATTAGTGTAAACAAAAGTTGTGATTGTATTTATCATTGTTTACTATTTTATTGTTGTCTTTTTTTCTATCATAAACAAATTTCCATTTCTCAGTTGATATTCTTCGTAAACCTATTGCTGAATTCAAGATCTTGGAAGATGTTAAACTTGATTCTACAAATATTAGTAAGTTTATCGAAATTATTCTTGATTTTATCCTCGTTTTTCTCTTTTTTTTCCCTTCTCTATTTATTTACTTAATACATATAAAAATGGATTCGAAAAATTATTTAGTCTGATAGTTTCAGTACAGGCTGATGTAGCAAACCTATGAACATGGATAATTTCATCCATGTTATCTCATAGTATATTCACTCAGCAATAAAAGTTAACATCAGTGATGCTTTTAATGAGAAATGGGCATCTGTGGAACTTGTATGTGATGACAAACATCCATTGATGCCACTTGATGTGATGGGCATGGTGTATTGTTAAGTTAAAGAAATATAAATGGCTGATATCTAATAATGTGTCTGAATGGTGACATCCTAAATATGAGTAATTACAGGTTGTGGATGCGCGCACTGTTGAGTAGTTTCTCTATCTAGGATGATTATTCATTATACTATTTGTACTTTGGGTTCCTAGTGGAACATAAGGAGATTCAGTAGCACTTCGGCACTTCACTCTGTTCTCTGCAGTCTTTTTAATCTGGCCCCATTAATGCCCAGAACTTTCATTTCTTCCCTATATGATCCCCTCCATATCACGCTCTCCTCGGACACCCAACTTATCGTTTCCCATGTGGCTTCCGCTCGATGGCCTGACGCGTAATGTCCCCAAACTTTCTTCTCTGTGTATGTCCAATCCAATCCATCTCCACTTCCTTTTTCTGCATATTCTTCGGGCAATGGATTCTTGGTTGGTTCGTTGCTAGCCAGCCAGAGTTCCTTGTTGCTTATTCTTATTATTCTGGCCATTCGATCTTCAGCGTCAGTATCGAATGAGTGTAGGCGACAGCTGTTGATGTGATGCATGTCTGCAGTTTATTCGAAATGCTTTTCGTAACGTGTCAAGTCTCTCAACCATCACATAGAAGCACTGACTGACTTGACTGGATTGGTGTTTAAAATCCGGATGTTGTTCACACTTTATGCTGAGTAGAGTGCAGTAGATCTCCACACTGATTATTTCAGATTAATGAAGGAAGGCCTACCTTGCTGTGTTTCCGATGCTGGCTTTGACATCCTCATCTGTCCCTGTACCGCCTGTAGTTGAAACGATGCTGCCTAGGACGAAGCAACCGTCTGTTGCCCTGCTGCTTTAAATGTTCGATGCCAATTCATGGTCGAAACCACCTTGTGAAGGTGGCAGTGGATGAGAAATTGTTATCTTTCAGTTACTTACCTTTAATCAACACCAGTGAACCACAAATTGTTTTTCATTCTATTCCTTCTGACTTTACTTTAATGTTAATGTACTGGAGACAAAATAGTCATCGTGATTTGTCAGGTAGTGGTGACAAGGATGCAGATTGTGCCATTTCAACTAGCAAACATATTAACATTATTAGTGGCAGTGTAAATGATGATAAAGAATATTGAGGACAGTATGATAATGTAAACAGACTTATCAACAGATAAACTAAGTCAGAGCTTTAGAAAGAACAGTAAACCTACGAAATAAAATGGTGAAGTTAGTGGATGAAATAAGTCTGAATATGAATCTAGTAGGCGTATATGAAGGGTGAAAAGCAAGTAAATAAAGACGAGGGGGCAGAACCATTCGTTCAGTCTTCTTCTACACAAACATCTTTTGAGTTCAAGGGTTAGGATTGTTTGATATTAATGACGGATAGTGGTTAGCAGTAGAGTTTAGGACACGCATTTCATCCTATTCAAGACTCGTCTGCTGAAAGTATCTGCTTCGCGGTAAACCTTGTTGTTCTTACTAAGACTCAAACCCGGGGCAATCGGTTCAAACGTCAAAGCATTATCCATTAAGTCACCGTGTATTAATAGACACTTTTTGTACGACGGGTATAGCATAGTCATTGATGTTGTAACTTGTGAATCTTCATCGTTCTCTGTTCTGTTCAGTCGTTTGTTTGAAACACTTTATTATCAGTAATTATCAGAAGAGACTTGAGTTCACACTGTATTGGAAATACTTTATATAGGATTTGATAAATTTATTCGAATGATTTGCTTTTACCCACTGTTTTATCATTGTCAACCAGATAAGGGATAAAGTTGAAACTAGTTACTTCTTTCATCGGTCACAAAGGTAGATATCTTATTTGACTAGTATAAATATGGTGGTTTACTGTCATATTTGTCACAGATACAGGTGTAGACATTCTACTCTAATCTGTGTGAACGTGGGATTGTTGTTCCAATAATAGTAATAATAATAATAATAATAATAATAATAATAATAATAATAATAATAATAATAATAATGTATCTGTAGTTCCATTGGTTCAATTGTTCACACTTGTTCAATTGAACAGTATGGCTGGCTGACTCAATTATTTGACTTACAATCGATGATTGACATTTTCAATCTTTGCTCCATCTATTTCAACCTAAGCGCATGGATACAACTGGTATAACTGATAGCATAAACGTGTATTGAGTTGTGCTATATGAAATTTTATACTACAAGTCTGAAATCAACTTCAGGCATTATGTTTATTGATATTTATATAATACTATACTCTTAGAAGGAATAAGTGGGACTTTTTTGTGGACCATATGAACTTGTAATTGGTTGTTTGGTTGAAAATGTTATTATTATCGAAGTTTTGTTTCTACATATATCCAGATCCTTGGGATGAAGGGAGTCTATGTACACCAACTTCTGAATGGGCTAATTTCAATAAAGAAACTTTTTCTTCATCTAGTCAATCAGATTCCAATGAAGAAGGTGAGGATGAATATAGAATTGAAGCTGATATTTAATATAATTCTCATTTCACAATTAATTTGGTATAAATCAGTATTTAGCTCAGTGAACATACTTTTCTCCTCATCTTTTTACTATTGAATCAATACTGACATTTTATCAGTGATGGGTATTCACTAGAGTCGATTAGAACAATGAATCATTATACTCCTTGTCTTGAGCTACAAGTCTTCTCCACTCCCCCCCAAGTTTTCGATATGCTAAGGTAAAATGGAAAATAGCGGACTGCATCCGTTTTAGTATCCTTTGTGTGTGTGTGTGTGTGTGTGTGTGTGTGTGACTGATGGGTGATTATTAGTTAATAATTTGCTCAAAGCTAAGTTTATCAATTGTGCTATACGTTTAACAATAAAGTATACTCACAAAGTCTGTATATCTTTCTTAAAAAAAGTGAAAATTCACGTAAATATTTTTCTAAAGAGAAAGAAACAATTCACCAAATAAGAAAATTGTATCTGGAGATTTGTAGAGGTTTACTAGTTGATTTCAGGTTGGAATTCATCATGATCTGATATCACTTATAGGTGCATTGGGAAAGTGGGAGCACCGGACAACTGTCTCGTGTTAGTATGCGACTCCTCAGCAATGCGCACCCATGACCCTACCTAAAATCAATTACTAAAACTCTGCAAATCTCGAGATAGAATTAATCTAGCGCTCCTTGATGACTACCTTCGAGAGGTGATTCCCGAAGTTCCCATGAGAAGTTGTGACTAGTAGAGTCAACCAACTCGAACATGAAGATAGTTACTCAATGACGACATTGGATAGAGGTGGCGGTGTATCATGAACTCACGGAAGTAAGAGATGTAGACCATTGGATTTCGACCCAGTGGCCCAATGGTAACGTGCTAGCAGCGGAACCTGGGGGTCCTGAGTTCAATTCCTTTTGGACTGGGGTAATGATTACACACTGCTGAGGAGTCTTATACTAGTGGAACGAGACAGCTGTCCAGTGCTCTCAGCTTTCCAATTTTAATCCAACTGATGTCAGCCTATGATGAGTTCTAACCTAAAATAAGAAAATTGTTTTTATTGGATGTTTTTCTCTCTCTTTAATACTATCTTCATATACAGCAGTCTATTAATAAATTACCGAAGAAAGAGTTACGTCACCATGATAACATTTCGAGACTAGAAATAAAGAGTGGTATAATCGTAAATAAAACGCTGCACTCAACGATAAACATACAGAATCTGAAAATGGGTGAATAAACAAACAAAGATCATAATGATGGTGGTACTAGTGTACTGGGCGCTAGTGATCAGAATGGATAGATGTAAGTAGTATAAGTTGAGAGGGCGATTGCAATCAAAGACAATTACCAGTAATGGGTAGAGATTCTGTCCAGAGAAACGCAAGACACAATGTGGGTGTATTAAGAGCAAATCAAGATAGAAGCAGAAGAGGAAATGAAGCGCATTGTGCAAACGACTGTCTTAGTGCAAAGTGTACAAGATGTCTATAATAAACATTCGTTCCTTCGTCTCCGTCTTGTCGTTTCCTATAATTGGTGTCGCTGCTTCTGGATGTGGCGAAGATTCCGTGGCGTGTAGTACTCGTGGATGGAGACATCAAGGTCTTTCTTAGTGACTTACAGTCGGTCGCGGAGCTGGTGGGTGTCCGGGATTTAGGAGCAAAGGTTGTGCTGCTTGGCACGTTGCTGAAGAGTAGAGCGAAAGCGGCATATGACGGCATAAAACCTGTGGATGAGAAGGAAACTTGGAGAGAATGGTTGGATGCCTGGCGGCGAACTTGTGTCTAATTTAATCATCAGTTGTATAATGTTTAATCCTTGATGATAGCTAATGGATTAGATTTCTATTTTGGTTACACGGCATTCAACTGTAAAAATTCATATAGTCTCTATTTCATATCGACTTTCTGTGAAACATCTGACGTCATAGTGTTCAACTGTTTGTCACCATCAGATAAACAGACACAGAAAATAAAAGTGGGACTTCATACACAACTGGATCCGTTCAAGTTGGCACACTTCACTTACCTGGGGAGTAGGATCAGCTCTGATGAAATCTCTGAACGGATACAAAAAGCTCAGCTGGCTTTCGCCAATTTACGCCACCTATGGCTCTACTGCCATATCCGTCTGTCTATTAAGGGTCGCGTGTACTACACAGCAATCCGCTCTGTTCTACTATATGGCTGTGAAACATGGCCACTGAAGGTGGAAGATATGAGAAGGCTTCAAGTGTTTGACCACCATCGCCTTCGTAGCATAGACCGTATCCGTGGTGTCACTACATGAGTAATGCAGAAGTCAGGCCCAGGTGTAAAGTTTTAGGGAGAAGAGATATATGAGTTGACGAGGTTATGAACCTTCATCGACTGAGATGGTTGGGACACATGTTACGTATGCCTAGTCACCGATTGCCTCGTCACACAATGTTAGCCGAAGTAGGCCGAAGCTGGAAAAAGGCCCGAGAAGGCCAGACTGAAACATGGTATCAGTGTATGAATAGTTTGACTGTTGGTTTGAGCCATGTAGGACGATGCAGATTAGGTGGTTGGGGTCGGCGGGGCAAGAGGAATCAGTGGTTGGAGACTCTAGGTGATGACGTGGATCAGAACCGATGTGAGTGTCGCAGATGTATACACACACACACATTGTCCTCATCTTAACAACACTATACTGAATCTCACCATTTTGTCACTCCTCTTTTCTTTCTCCTCATATTTTATATTTCTTTTGACTACATTCTCTTATCTTCATCCTTTACCTCACTGTCTTTTTACTTGATGTACTATACGAGGTGTGGCAACTCGGACCGTTACGCAGTAATGCTGGTCCTATGTTGATATTGATGATGATGACAGTGGTACACAAAGAACAGTTGGGTGGTAAAAGAGTGATACTAAAGTAGATAACGTTATGTGACAGAATAAACAATCTGAAGGTGAAGTTTATTGCGAATATTCAAGCCACGTTACCAAGAGTCGCCAACCACTGATTTGAATATTAGAAATTTGCCTGAATCAACGGTAGTTTTTTTTTTACTGAAACTGTTGATTTTGGTAACTTGATTGTTTCAAATGACATGAATTGGAGATTTACATTCCTGAATAGTTAATTATACATAAGGTTTTATTTCATAGTAGTTGTGATTGTCTTTCACTGACATATCTACTAATATCAATATGATGTGTTCTACTTATAAAGATGTTTATCAGTAGTATATGATGCGATGTTATCGGTTAAAGGTAAGAGTCAATATTCAACTATTTGAGGTGCTGGAGAAACCATTGAGGGTATACTGAAAGAAAATGTTGCTTTAAAGTGAGTATATACAAGAGAAATCGTAAGATAACTCACCTATGAAGTAGAATGCAAATGTTGTTGGATAAGCAGAATTTTTGTCAGTACTTTCTACAATCTAATAAATGGATCCCATCTATCTTCATTGCTCTTATTCTCTACACTACCAGAACTTCATGAAAAATTTTTGTTTAAATTTACAAGTGGGTTTTATTTTTTGAAATATTAATGAATCTGTAAAGTCCTCTCTTGTTTTCATACTTTCTTCTTGTCACTTTTTCGTTGTTCAGCAGCTATTAAATGGGCTAACTTCGAGGATGTCTCTTCAAAGAGTGTCAATTCCGAAATGATATTCCAAGCAAGTATGAATGGTATCTCAAAAACTGAAACAACCTTGACTACCAACACTGATGTTACTACTAATAATAGTAATAGTAGTCATGATACACCTGACAATAGTTCTCATGTGAAATGTAATACTTCCTCTATCTCCTCCTCTCCTATGAATATGAACAATGTTGAAGGACAACAACAACAGACAAAATCAAATGAACCTATTCCTGGTAATCCCTCTCATCATTCACCTATTCTACCTTTATTGAATACAAATCTTTTCAAAAAGTAAGTATACTATCATATCTTTCATAAGAGTAAGTAAGATACAATGAGGAAACATTGAAAAGTATTTTTAAGCCTTTGAAATGAATCATTTTGTCGGTGAAAAGTGTAACAGATGAAATGACTAGCTGGAAGGTCGAAAACCACACTCAGAGTACGACCTGCTAAGTTTTGAAAGTATCTCCCCCCCCCCCCTTTAGTAAATAAAAACAACAACATAGTTTCAAGAGAGCAGTGTGTACATAGATTTCGTTTCTGTTAGCACCTATGAAAATGAACTATGCATATCCTCGGAGAATTCCTGGCAACTTCTCATGAGCATTCTTTGATATGTGCATTTGGTTGATGCATCTAGTTTCATTTGCTACCCTTAGCCGTGATTATATTACAAATATGTTAATCAATCATATCAGGATGAAAAAGAATAACACAATAGTTTTCCTTTCATTGATCGATCAGAAATTCATCATCAATTCATCAAAGCATTGTATATGCCAAAATTGATAAGTAGTGTTCTGTTGAACTGAGATTCATTCTCAGGATTAGATTAATTGGGTCATACTCCAAAGTTGACGTAATCCCATGATTCACTAATTGATTGATTTCAGTTTTATTGTTGTATAGCTTGTTAATCATATAACATACTATCGAACTCCTTGTTTGTTTGTTTGTTTTTGTATTGAGATGCGTATGTATAAGTTGAGTACCTCTTCATTCTTCTTCAGAGGGGAATTTAAGTAGATTGATTGATAGATTTTTGTGTATACTAGACAAGAATGATTATTCGCGGTTTCAAGAGGAAGAAAGTACAGTTATTAGCAGTACGTGTTAGTGTGTGTACTCCTGTGCTACAGAGTGGTGAGGTGCTCAAGTGAAATAATGAGGAATATTTAAAGGATAACAATCCAGCGAAACACTTACGGTAGCATACCAACAGCGACTGTTCTCCTTCAGTATCTTGTTCTTCACTAATCCATCAAAATGTTAGAAACAAAGGCACTGGCCTGTGGTTGTAACAAAGACACTTTATTCGACAAAATTACATCATTTATATACAGTTTTTATAAGCATATAAAACGAATTTGTCAAATGGTAATCGCTCATTCTGATTGGTTAACTACAGGATAAAATTGTCCAATAGGATTTTTTTTGACCACACAGCGAAATGAAACAAAAATTGAACTGAAAAAACCTTAGTGGCTGATTACTTATCATATTGATTTATACTTTAAGCTGCCTCGTTTTATCAGAATGTAAAAGTTATTCAGGAGAATCTTATGCGATTTCATTGAACTAAATCTGTACACGTAACATACAATTGTATGCAATCCTTTTTTTTCTTTATATTCACGCATTCATTACCCCTTAGAATCTAAGATTTACCTAACCTTTTGTGAAAAGTGATCCTGGTGAACCTATGATATTTTTTAGTGTAACCATCGGTAGCAAGAAGTACACTTCAAAGGGAATAAGTTTTAAAAAAAACAAACAGCGGGAGGGTGTCAATTCCACAGAACACGTTGAAATCGTCTTCGTTACCTTCGGATTATTTTCCATAAATAGGGAGGATACAATAAGACTATAAGGTGTGTATGTATATACATACTATGTCGTTTTCAGTCAATAAGTGTCATATAATCTTTTATGTTTACCAACCTGTGCATCAGTATCATCATCAACATACGATCAGGTATTACTGCGTAGCGGTTCAACTTGCCACACATCATATCAGTACATCAAGTTAAAAGGCAGTGAAATGCAAGATGAAGAAAAGAAAATCTAGCCAAAACAAATATAAAGTACTAAAAGAGAGAAAGGAAGAATGAGAAAATGGTGAGATTTCGTATAACGTTAAGATGAGAATATTGTGTGTGCGGATACATCTACTCCACTGACTTTGATTCTGAATCATGTGATCATCTGGAGTCTTCAACCACTGATTCCTCCTCTTGTCCCACGGACCCCAACCGGCTAGTCTGGTCGAGAGTCAAAAACATTTTCCCACCCTCAACCTACTTCGGACAACACTGTGTGACGAGGTAGACAGCGACTAGGCATATGCAACATATATCCCGACCATGTCAGTCGATGAAGACTAACAACTTCGTCAACCGACCTACCTCTTCTCCGTAAAATTCTACACCTACACCTGACTTCTGTGTTACTCACGTGTTGACACCAGAATACAGAATACCGCATAAACTACTACGAAGGCAACATTCGTCAAACATCTGAAGCCAGCCTTCTCATGTCTCCCATCTTCAATCACCATTTTTCACAGTCATACAGTAAAACAGAGTGCACCGCTATCCAAGTGCAGTGCACGCAACACTTAATAGACAACAATCCGATATCACGGTGGCATCACAGGTGGTGTTATTTCTTAAAACCTAACACAGCCTTTTGTATTCGTGCACAAATTTCACCGACCACTGACCGAACAGGTATCGACTGGATCATACATCACTTCACAGATAAGTGAAGTAAGTGGTCAGAACACTCAACCACTCACTATTGTTAGTCAACGCACCGTTGAACACCATTCCCAGACCAACAATTTCCATTTCGGTGGTGAGAAACGCATCACAAACATTCTCAAATTCCCACTCAAAGTGTTCAGAAGACTCTCGTCAGCGTCTTCACCTAACACGACTGACTATGTCACTTATGCATCAACATCACATACGCATCACTTCTGTTCGCTTTGAGAAGCCTTTACTACTGAAAAAACTGCTAGAAGGTAGTTACAACAGTAACTTATTTGCTATGAAATATACTTAAAGTGTGACTGGTGCTACAACGGATTTATTGACTAGGCTGTTTAAAGGGTGATAGTGTATGATTGATAGAATCACCTAACTTCGACAACTCAGGCATTAAGAGACTTGTTTAAGTGAGAGATTGAAATAAACAATGTATGCCATTGTCGGCCAGTTGATCACCAAATGTGTATGGATATAGATCATTCCATGGTAATGTAGGTGGTATTGTACTCAGTATGCTTTGGTAAGAAGAAGAAGAAGAAGAAGAAGAAGAAGAAGAAGAAGAAGTTGAAGTTGACTTTGCTACACTTTTATGAGTACGTAAAAGAGTAGTTCTCATTGTGTTGATGAACAATAAGAATAAAACGGTTATTTGCCTATTTCCTCCGTAACAATTTATTCATTGAAGCGATTACAGCATAAACTATTATTAGTCTACTATTCATCTTATCTGTACAGAATCAATTCAATTAAGTTATTCATTATTATTCGATTGTATAGTAAGTGGTTGAAATTCTACTCTTAAGCGTAATGAATGAAGCATACTGAGAATCTATTCATAGTCTGAGATTCGTAATGTATCCACCATTAATCGTATCAATACTATCATTAGCTAACCAATATAATATAAGATTATGGATGTAATAATTCTTTTTTTCTCTTGTTTCATTTTTCATCCCACCCTCCACCCTACGGGGTTCTCACTTATCATCGTGGTGATGATTCTCATCGTCGATTCGATGTTTATTTGTTTTTGTATTCGGGATACTGGTGATATTTTATTCTTCATGATAATAATGTTATTATTGATTTGGTTATTGTTTTGTTGATACTTTTCTCTTTTATATTATCCACCACTTATATGTTACATCATTTCTTGTGTGTGTGTGTGTGTGCTCACTCACTTACTCACTCTCTCCCCTTCTCTCCCCTCTCCATTTCTCTGATTTATTGGAACTCCTACTGGTAATGGATCATCACCTATAGGCATCCTAAACTGTGTACAATTGTTTAACTGCATCATTTTCTGCTCACCTTCATATCACACAGCGTCGTAGAGCTTATCGCCTTATACCTGCCTACATACATGCACTCACAGACATCAAAAGACTTTCAATTTAAGGGTGAAGGAGTATCTTGTGTGTGTGTGTGTGTGTGTGTGTGTGTGTGTGTGTGTGTGTGTGTGTGCAACTTGTTCTCTGTTACTGGCTTACATATTAACCTACTATCAATATTATTCTACAGATGTATTTTCTCCTGATTATTTACATTTTATCCTTTCATTATCCATTCGTATATGTGGCATATTTCTTAAAAATTGTTTGAAGTAAGCACCACTTTGATAAATTAGATAGCGTGACTAATTGAGCATTTTTAACTTTGTAAAGTTTTACTTTGTCCTTAAAACCCACTAAATAATAATAATAATTTGTTCCTAGTGGAACATAGGGCCTCAGTAGTAGTACGTCTCCAGTGCACTATGTTCTCTGCAATATTTTAAACCTCATTCCACCACTGCCCACAAGCTCTCCTTTCTTCCTCACACGATCTCCTCCATGTCACCCTCACCTCGGACACCCAACTTGTCGTTTCCCATCTAGATTCCACTTGAGTGCCTGGCCTGGCACGTGATGTCCCCATATGGTCTTCTCAGTGTATGCCCTATCCATCTCTACTTCATTCCAGTCCATATTTGTTGAGCTATAGGTTGGTAGTTGGTTCGTTCTCAGAGTTCCTTCCATTAAATAATGAATGGTTGTATTTCTTTCAGTTAGTCAGCTTCAACATAATCCTTCAAGTTACCATATTCTCATCTTAGTATATCAAGAGTGATTGCACCTAGATGGGAAGATAAAGAAAGAAGGAAGAAATTAGTTCAAAAGTATTAAAGGGATTTATGAAAAGATAACAACAAAGAAGGAGACAGTCATATCACGTAAATTCTTCAATCAGACTGACTTTAGTTGTCGACATGGATGCAAACAGGAGAATTCATACTCTCCTACACCGATCAGATAAACAGTTCTAGATAACCTTAGTTAATACGGTATTTTAGTTGAACCTGCTGTATCCTTTTTCTAGCCTAAAATGATTTCAGGCAACATGACTCGATGTTGACTAGACATATGCAAGACATATATTTCAACCATCTGAATCGATGAATGTTCACATTCTCATGAACTGACTTACCTCTTCCATTTGATTGAATTTGGGTTTTTTTGGGGATTAAGTGATTTTTCAAGTTGATATTGATCATGGACTGATAGCAGTTGAAGGAATATTGGAAACCTGGAAGCAGTGGACAGCTGTTTACTCCTAGTATGGGACTCTTCAGCAGTGTGGATCCATGACTTCGCCAGCAATTGAACTCAGGACTTACAGGTTCCGTGGCCAGCCATTGGGTGGCGATCCAATGGTCTATATTTTCTACTTCTGTCAGTTCACACAACCATCATCTAGCACCATCCTCATGGCCCCCAGGTTTGACCCACCGGTCACGACTTCTTTCACTTAAGCTACTTTGGCTGACGTGTACGTTACTGACGTGGTGATACCTCGATATAGGGGGCAATGGTGACCGAATATCTAAAGATTTCTCTAATCCTCTACTCTTAACAGTCATTTTTTTTCTCATTTATATGCTATTCTAGGGGAATTTGGATTACGGTGGAAGAGAGTTCAGGAGTGGCCAGGCCAAGACCAGATATCAGTCGATGAAGTCTCTTATTGTAACCAGCCAGGTGTAGATAACCTGACTGAAGTCCCTGAGATAATAGGAATCAGTGGTTGAGCAGTCTTTGTGAAATGGCTGAAAATCGGTCATAGTGGTGGAGATGTATTCACTGTTTGATGTCTTTTAAAGCTTGAATGTTTATTCATTCTCTTAAACAACTTTATCTACTTTGATATCACTTTTTTTTCTATCTACCAGCTCTTTATATACTACTATGAAGTGTAGGAACTTGAATGGATGCACTTATGTGCTAGATTCTACGCAGATTTTGTCGGTCTGTCATTGAACTCCATGTAATAGAACAAGAAAAAAAACACGAAAAGCTCGACCTTTATTATTTCGTTTTTACAAAAAGCGCTAATAAATAACAACGAAGTGACCTCAACTTACTACATTCAAACAAAATCATCATTCAATCAATGATTCAATTAAAGATTTCTCTTAAGAAAGTTAACCAATCAAGTTGAACACAAGCTCATACACAAATTAACATAACATTCATTTCTCACTCTTCCATTCACAGTCAATTTGCTTAACAATGAAGTGAAGCTATTTAGAATGATTTCTTTTTATCACCATCATACTTAGTGGTATATCATGTTAAATGAAAAAAGCCACTAATCACTCATAGGATGAATCGTCAACTGTGTAAATATGTTACCATTATGCCATTCACACATTGTGACTTACATTTTTGTAAGGTTCAATAGTATTTACAAATTCCTCTCAGTAATTCGTCTAGATAGATATGCAAAGTGTTCATTAGATATTCACATCTGAATAGTTCTTTTAAAACTTAGGTAGAATATGTTTCACTCAATGCTTTCATATGTAGAGTATTTGATTTCATAAATCGACATAATTTATCCATCCTAGTATCCATCATACACTGATCGAAAGGATAAGTCCAGTTTATCTAGGATAAACTGTCTATCTTCGTGTTGTCTTTTATTTTTGACATAAAAGTTATCCGTTATCATCTTGTAGGCTAGATTGACACTTTTCTTTTGTTATTCACTTATAATATGGTGACATCTGAAGTTGAAACAGAATGTATATTGCGATGGGAATTTATCTGACATCATTAGGGTTTTTACCTACTGGCCCCAGCCACAATCTAGCTATCTTATCAATATATAAAATATATCTCGGGCAGTCTCTCTCTCTCTCTTTCTGGTGTAGTTTGTTTCCAGGTGATTAACAGTGCAATCCAGGACGTGTATTTCATTGTACTCAGAACTCTTCAGCCTGGTGTGCTTGCATCTCAGTGAATGATAGTGTTCCCACAAAGACCTGGAACACTTAGCATTGAATCTCTTCATCTACCATAACATTTTTAATTAGGCTACTCAGTCATTAATTTGGAATCAATAAATAAATCTCCATAAAGCTCTAGGTTGAATTACTGTCCAGTGTTTATTAATGACTTTCTTCGAGATAAGATTTCGAAAGTCCCTGATTAGAAGTCATGACAAGTGAAGCAAGACAAAAATCGAACGTGAGGACAGGTACTCAACAGTAGCATTGGTCTGGAGGTCATAGTATATCGTGAACTGTCTGAAGTAGAAGATATGGATTATTGGATTCCTACCTTGTAGGACCTGAAGGTCCTAGGTTCCACCTCTGATGGAGTAATGTGTGCGTATTGCCGAGGAGTTTCGTGGTGGGATAAAACAACTGTCCAGTGCTCTCAAGTTTTCCATGGTTCTTAAACTAATGTCAGTTTGTAATAGTTACCAACGACAAATATGTGTTTCATGCTTGTTTCCACTCATCAGTAAAGTACAGAGGACAATTAACACCTTAAAGATTTCCCTTATGTTAACCTACACAGCAATTAAGGAACGTTGCCATAGTAAGAAGATGCCTGAAATTATTACTAACCAATACTTCAGTATTAAGTTAGACATTTAAAACAAACTGTGTAACCGTTTTTTTTCAATAACATTCATCATTAGAATATGATCTATTCATTTTAGAAACGATTTCATCAGCATTCACCTTTTATAATCTCTTTAACTTCAAAAATGTTTTCATTATCTCAATTATTCTTATTTGTATAACAGTCACATTTAGGTCAAAAGGTTATTGTGCTTTTCTCTTTTCATTTCACTAAATGTTGAATAGATTTTCTCTTATCTTTTTTTGGGGGGTATTTAATGCATTAGTCCATTTAACAAGTAATTTTTTTATGGTATTAGTATTGCTACTAGTGTTATTGACAGTAGTATATACTTGGAGATTAGTTCAACTACCGTGTCGTTTGGTTTGCTAACACTGGTGTTGTTCATAATGGTGTCAAATATTCCTTTCCTATGGCCATGTGCACAATAGTTGATCGTGTTACATTCTTATCACCACTTGTTGTATCGTTGTAGTGAATAGTTGGTATAATCTGATATATATATATATATATATATATATATATATATATATATATATATATATATATATATATATATGGTCTCTTAGTTTCTATGTATGTGTAACAGGCAGTAAGATAACAGAAGGTGTATTGCAACATGAAAGAAATATATACAAAATACGATGGTTTATGTATATATAGATTGACCTTGGTTATTTCCAGGTCTTTCTAGATTAAAAGGCTTCCCAGAGATGCGGTTTTGTCTGCCTGATTTTTCAATTGGATAATTAAGTAAGCGGTACAAAAAACAACAATGAAAAAACCTCAGGAAAAAGCGGTTGAAAATTCCAGAAGCACCTAAAACCGAGGAAGCAAACGACTGTGTTACCAACTTATCAAAACAACCACTAAGAGAAACGAAAGGACTTCTTCAAAAAGGATTGAACTACAACACAAGAGATGCCTCCAAACCAGAATTCTTTGCGGCATTACAATCGTCACTTAAAACATCAGGATTTCGATGAGGTCACTCAAGAAGAAATACGGCAAACAATCGTACTACTGACTAGGCAGAAGAGATATCACGCTCAAATGAACACTCAAGAACGGAAAACATTAAAAAAACTGATGAATAGGAAAGATATACTTCCAGCTGACAAAGGACGCACCACAGTAGTCATGGATAAAGAAGACTACATCAGGAAAGCAGAGGAATTACTCAAAGATGAAAATGTATATCAACCACTTGAAACCAACCCTATCGAGAAGTTTGACAACCAGATCAATAAAACGTTGAGCAAACCCTTCAAAGCAGAAGAAATATTCAAGCAAGACAAATGCCGAATGAAGTCGAATGGACCTGTCTTTCCTTGGTTCTACAGCAGACTAAAACTACAGAAACCAGATATCTCTCTATGACTAATAGTCTCACTTCCGGGAACTCCAACGTATCAAGAGAACTTTTGAGAAAACTGAAACACCTTCAATCAGGTGAACATTCCATCAAATCACCAACAGAGTCCTTAGAAAAGATCGAAAGCGTTAATACATAAAACGATGAATTAATGGTATCCTTAGGTATGGCTTCTTATTCTACACTGTAACCAATTTCATGTTACATAAAATGAGTTTAGTTATCACCTAATAGTTTTCTGATTGGTGATAAGCCTTCAATCATTTGATAATATTCCGTTGGATGAAATAAGATTACATATTGTGTGATTCACTTTCTTTTAAACGGAACAGGAGGTACCTTAATATAATCTCTAAGTGGTTGTGGCTCATTACCTAATGCATGAATGTAAACAAGGTTGCTGAGTTTTATGTTGGATAGGGAGAACAATGTTGAACATTGAACAAAACCTAATCTATTCAAACAGTATGAAGAATAAAGATAATTTATATAACTCAGAGGAACGTTAAACTGAACTAGATTGAAGGTATGCATGAAGAGGAGAACAGTTAGTCGAAGGCATGTTTAGTGTTGTCAGTATTTTGGTAGAGATAAAAATTGAACATTATACACATATATTTGTGTGCTGTCATGATCGACTACTAGTTATGCTATAAAGGCTGCATCTCTGGATTTATTTTGGGTTGCCTTATTGCTACTCTTTCGAAAGAATTAATGATGCTAATTTATCTTATTCTTACAGAAGTGAAATCTCTGAACTTCACTTTTTTTTTGTTGAAAACGAAATGATTGTGTTAAATGTGTCCACCTTGTGTAGATAATTTCAATACTGTCTGCATATGAAACTCAACGGTGCAAAAGATACTTCTAGGTATTTTTTATGAAAATCGCCTAAACTACTTAGTAGTAGTATAACGTGTGCAGCAAAAGTTTTGGCGTTTGATAACTTGTGTGTCATGTACATCCCGGTTCTTTTTAACTTTTCTTGTCATGAATAAATTATAAGTCGATTTCATACTTGAAATTTTCTCTTTTTTAAAATTTCAGATAAATATATCAAAAGTGTAGTAACTGAACAGGCGACCGGTTTATGTTATTGGGAAGAAAACTGTATAACAAGTATAAAATGTGATTACTTACTCATATAAGTTGCCACAATTATTCCTCTGTTTAGCTTTATTGTAATCTATTATCTTATCCCTGGCATATAAACACGTACAACTCTTATATAACATGTACTCATTGACATTGAATTTAATCGATTTTAGCCTTTACTTCTCTTTTTTTATTTATCACATTTACTCTATTGTTGGTGGAGGTGGGACATTGATGGTGGTGATGGTGATGCACACCAGTCATCCTAACTGCTGTTTAATGTTTTCTCTTTTGTTTAGGATTGATTTTCATCGTCAGTTTTCATCATCAATACGTTTTTATGTTATGATTGATCTTATCATGCACGTATAAGATGATATAAATGTGATTAGGGGTTTTTACATTCCATTTAAGTGTGAGAAGATGATACCATTGTCAATGACATATATCTGCTTGCCTTATTTGACGATAGTGTTGATGATCACTTGTTATTTGTATAGTTCGATGGTTATTCAACATACATCTTTTTATTTGTGGATTTGTTTATCTTATAGGTATGATCATAATGATGCCACAATGTTTATAGTACACAGTAATGAATCACTCTCACGTAATTTGTATCTATGTCACATGCAAATACATGCATTTTCATGTTTCTTCTTGTGTTTTATCTGTTTTTTTCTTCTATATGAAGACTTTTATTTGGAATTATTTCCAGGGTATGTTGTAGGATTCAGGGGACTAGCGTTGAGTATACCTATTCATGCGTAGATGTTTTGCTGTTCGACTTTCCTTCCTTCTATATTCTATTGTACACTCATTTTTGTCTGTCTGTATGTTTATGTGCTTTCTCACACTACACATAATACGATTTCCTCACTATGAACAACATAAGACAGAGATAACAATAATAATCAAACTTGATATAATGATAACTGTAAGTGTTCTTAGTTCACTTATATACTTAGAAAACTATCCCTCTTTTGACATTTTATCCCTGTGAAAAAAGAAGAATAGAAAGTGAACTTTTATGATCATTTGTGGAGGGAAGAGAGTCATTCAGTCACTTGATCGATCACCAAAAATGGTAATGTGAAAATAGTAAGAAGGAAAAAAAAAGAAGCAAAATCTATCAATAAATTCAACATTCATCTCTTTTGTTCCCTTGTTTTTTTTTTACTCAATAAACAAATTTTGTGCATCGTTTTCACTTCTTCAAGTTTTATTTCTGTCATACAAATAATGTTAGCCTGAAGACGTCTGATGATTGATGTCTTCATCTTTTAAGATATGGAATCGATTGAGATGACTTGGACATGCCGAGCCACCACCTATCTCGATTTGCCGTGTTAGGTGAAGTTGGATTGGATTAGGGTGGTCAGACCAAGTCTCTCATTGTTGATCTAAGCCGTGTGGGAAAATGTAGACTACTACCTGGTTGAAATTCTTCAGATGAAAGAAATCAGTCGTTGATGAGAAGAAGATGCAGGGCAGCGAAGATGGGACTTCAAGTGAGTGTAGACAAAACAGAAGTGATGAAGATACCCGAACAACAACAACAAGCTGCAATCACCATGAAAGGGGGAAACCTAAAGGAAGTAGCCTCTTTCTCCTACTTAGGCAGCATTGTTTCAACTACAGGCGGTGGTGGCACGGAAGAGGACGTCAAAGCCAGCCAGGATCGGAAAGACAGCAAGACAGGCCATCCTTCATTAACCTGAAACCAGTGTGTGGATCTTCTGCACTCAACATAAAGCATGAACAATATGCGGATTTTCAACACCAAGTCAGTCAAGTAAGTGTTTCTGTATGGCTCAGAGACTTGACGCGTTACGAAAGAGATTTCCAACAAACTACAGATATTCATCAACAACTGCCTACGCTTACTCGATACTGACACTGAAAATCAGATGGCCAGAATAGTAAGAATAAGGAATAAAGAACTCTGGCTGGCTGGCAACGAACCAACCAACGAAGAAGCTATCGCTGAACAAATATGCACTGGAAGGAAGTGGAGATGGATTGGGCATACACTGAGAAGGCTGACTGGGGACATCACGCGTCAGGCCAGTCCCTCGATTGGAACCCAGATGGGAAGTGACGAGTTGTTCGTCGGAGGTGAGGGTGAGATGGAGGAGAAGGTGTGAGGAAGAAATGAGAGGTTGTGGGTAGTCGTGGAGCCAGGTTTAAAAGATTGCAGAGAATAGAGTGGAAGGAGATGTGCTACTGATTCCCTATGTTCCATTAGGAACCCAAGGGACAAATGATAATAACAATAATAACATTAGGCTACTCATGTAACTAACACAGCAGAATGCTTCGTGAAACCTGAGGTGGCATGAATCTGTCTAAAAGCAATGTGCATCCATCCGTAATAGACAGAGTATCCTAACTCATAGATAACGGACACAATTATGGATGCTTAATTGTACATTTTAGATTTATCGAATTACTTATTTGTGCAATTGGTTAAGTTTTGTAGAGACGCTTAAATCCTATCGATGGGGACAAGAGTTGAATCGACAACTCCACATAAAAAATCTATAAAAATTATACAAAATTTTATATTATCTCAGTAATTTATCTTCATGGATTGTTTATGTGTCTATGGATGAAACAGAAGAAATTATTAACGCATAGTAATTACAAAATGAAATGTAATGACAATGATAAGAATACAATGAAAGATTATGTGTATACTAATCCTGTTTTATAGGGAATAAACAAAACTATTGGTTTGATTATGAAGGCTGCACGTAGGTAAAGAGTAGAACACACTTCATTTTTATGGGTAAACAGTTTGAAATTTTAATTTGTTGTGGCCTCTGCTATGCTTACTAATTGAGGGAGTACAACCTTAGGGTATTGTGGTGGCCCTTTGTATGAAATATTAGAGTCCGAAGTTCTATCACTGCATTCATTTTGCGTTCAGATGGGTGATCATATAAGTTTTTTATGGATTTTACTGTTGAAAATATTCTAAGAAGCGATGATGATGTTGCTGGATCGCTCCACCTGTTAACTATC